ACCTTGTGGCCTAAGCGAGCCTTGTGACACGGGCGAATGTTGCTAGACAAGTGTCTCGGGTGACTTCTTTTGAAATGGGTCTTTCAAGGATAGTATCAGACGACATGGATGTACCGACATTGTTCCCCAACCCATGTGTCAAAAGCTAGATCATACACTTGCTATCTAGTCCAAAGTCCATAAATGATATGACATGGACATGGGAGGGTCCAATGTCTCAATAGAACTCAAATGGATGGATGTTCAAGATGTCTCGATATTATCTACGACTCGTGGGCCTATTCTCAATGTCATGATTGAGCGAGCTATGATAGTCGTCGACACCCCGTGACCTGGGATGACGTTAAGACATTTGGGTCATGATGATGATGAGATGCGACATTGTATCGAGAGACCATGGCCCCAAGTAGAGACAAGTCGAATGGGTCGCAGAAGATTGAACATGCATGTGCAGGCTGGCATGTATGGCCGAACAAGTTTGGATTCCGCACAAGTTGTGTTCGGTGGGCAAAGACAAATCTCTCCTAAAGTCTGACGAAGCAACAAAATTGGGCGAAAAAAATATAGGGTTTGGATTTCCTCTAAAGTTGGATGTGAGGGTATCAAGATCATAACGTCGCACAGTTGAAAAAGTACAACCGTGACACTTTCGGTATCTGTACTAGCCACAGCACTGCTGTCTTAAGAACAGGGTTTAAAAAGTGGAGCAAATACCTTAGCTCCATGTTTGGTTGTTGCTCCTCTTGGTTAGGTTCACAAGCTTGGGAAGAGTGAGAAAGAATCTTCTCTTCTTATGATCAAGTTTGTCCGCGCCCAGAAGACGAACAAGCAACCCGAGCTAAGCTACTACTGACTAAGAGGGTGAACACTCCGACAGTGCTCAAAGAACATAACAACAATCATGTTGGGACATAACCATGCTCCTCAAACCTTGGCAGCACAAAAAACATTAACGATGATCGTTTGTCTTTGGAGCAAGATCTGATTGTAGTTAATAATCCAGGCACTTGGTAAACTAGTTTTGACAGTTGAATAATCAAGTGTTTTACGTAAATTCTAACCAATACAAGACATTAGTTACCATGATAATAATATCGACATACGTTCATGGTGTTGCTTGTGGCCGCATGCCTATATTACGCCAAACCCTTTATTTGATTTCATGTTGTATGTCTTACTATTGTATTTTCTGTTTGTATGATTATTCTGCGAAATCATATCTAGACCTACTAACCTAAATCACCTCAAAATTTACTATAGGGGTAGCATTTATTTGATTTCATGTTGTATGTCTTACTATTGTATTTTCTGTTTGTATGATTATTCTGCGAAATCATATCTAGACCTACTAACCTAAATCACCTCAAAATTTACTATAGGGGTAGCAACTAGTCGTCAACTCCTCCCACCTAGATTTTGTATAACTATTTGACGAAATCATGGCAAAATCATGTCTAGGTCTGTTAAACCTGAATCGCCTCAAAATATACTAGAGGGGATGCGACTAGTTATCAATTATTCCTACTCTCAGTTGTATAAAATTTAAGCCGCGGTGTTTCTTTTCTTTTTGTTTATAGCTATATAACGTTACTTTCAATCTTACTTTCAATCTTTCTTTCAACCTAACTTTCAAACTCTCTTTCGAAAATCTTTTTGTCTCGTTTTCTAAAACCTTCTTCTCAAAATGGGGCTAAAGGTTAGAGCATACATTGTCCAGTCATAAGCGACGAGAATCCAAATTGACTTGATTCACTCGGTGTTGGAAATGAGTACTGTACAATCATAAAATTTAGCTACTAAAAAAGTGTGATTGTGACGCCAACAGAAACCGTGTAAAGGGTAGATGGGGAGTGATCCAAGCATCTTATGTTGGGGTCGTGGGTCGGTGATATGAAATGCTCGAGAGCCCCACGAGTGGTGAATTGTTTAATATTGCAAGCTTTTGAAGAACACAGACTAAGGCACATGTAAAGTGGAAGCAAGTGGTCCACAATGGCTAGAGAGATTGAGAGGGAATAATGTCTTGGGAACTTTCTAGATTTCATTCTGCAAAGTATGTATTGATTAACCCTACCTATTAAGCTTTAGGACTTAGCAATAAATTAACATAATATTAAATCAAGACATCTCAAACCCCGAGTGGTTTGTTGGGCAAATTGAGTTATCATGACGATATTCTGACTATCGGACACCGCAAACGGGTTGCTATGGGAGCACCATTTTCGTAATTTCAAGTAATTGATCCGAGTCTCTTTTGAATCAATCTTTTTAGACTATATATATAAATAACTTCCAGCAAGAAAAGGTGATCTTGTGCTATACTCTGGTGATATCTTTTCTATTCCGAGGCATATAAACTCTGTCAGGCTGTTAAGATGCCTCAGCTACATACATCACTATACTCCCACTTGACACCTATCGTGATGATAAATGACTCATCTTACAGTGACCTTCTCTATCACTCCATCCTCACACTCCTAGTGGTTGGTTCGAGTATAACTCAATTAAGTAAATATCATAAACGAAGAGATCCAAATATGAGTATCTCGCCTTCAAATGTTGTATTGAACTTGAAAAGAAAAATCATGTTGATTTTCAAGCCCACACATGATAGGAAGTATTAAAAAGTTCTTTTGGTCCATGAACTTTCAAGTTTTGAGTTTAGTTGTGTGTTTCAAACTTTTAAAACGTCAATTTTAGTTCTCGTACTTTTGACTTTTGTTTATTTTAGGTTTTATACTTCTAAAAATTTTATTTTACTAGTACTTTTTTTTTTTCCATATATTCTATAAAAACGTCAATTTCAGTTCTTGTACTTCAAATTCAGTTTGTTTTAGTTTTTCTAGGTTCGAAAGGTTTGTTTTGGTCCATGTACTTTCGAGTTTCAAAAGTGAAGAAAAGGGATAGCCCTTCATTTCCATTCCTGTCTCCAAATATTCTCGACGCCCCTCTCCTCTCTCCTCTCTCCTCTCTTCTTTCTTCCCTTTACGTATATATAGTGAGATCTCACATTGGTCGTAGAGGAGAACCAAACCTTCCTTGTAAAGGTGTGGAAATCTCTCTCTACCATACGCGTTTTAAAAACTTTGAGGGAAGTCTAGAATGACAAGTCCAAAGAGGACAATATTTGCTAGCGGTGGGCTCGAGCTGTTACAAATGGTATCAAAGCCAGACAATGAGCGGTGTGTCAACTAAGAAAGAATGTTGGGTCCCCAAGGGGATGGATTATGAGATCCCACATTGGTTAGAGATGAGAATGAAGCACACTGAGCGGTGTGCCAGCAAAGCGAGGATGCTGGCCTCCAAGAGAGTGGATTATGAATCCCACGTTGGTTGAAGATGAGAACATTCCTTACAAGAGTGTGGAAACCTCTCCCTCGCAGAAGTATTTTAAAAACCTTGAGAACAAGTCCAAATAGGACAATATCTGTTAGTGTGTAAGTCTGAGTTGTTACAAATGATATCAGAGCCAGACACTAAGCAGTGTGCAAGCGAAACAAGGACGTTGGGCCCCCCAAAGGGTAAATTGTGAGATCACACATCAGTTGAAAAGGAGAACGGAATATTCCTTACAAAGGTGTGAAAATCTTTCCCTAACAAACACATTTTAAAAACCTTAAAGGAAAGCTCGAAAGGAAAAGCTCAAAGACTATGGACAATATCTATTAGCGGTAGACTTAGACTATTACATATATATATATGATATATATATAGATAAAGGGTCCGCCACCTTTACATGCGAGAACGTGCCCTCTCCAATACTAAAGGCCCCAATAAAAATCCCTTCCACTGCCTTAAATCTTCACATTGAGATCTTTTGTAGCAAGAAAATGATATCAATATACAAAAGCAAGAGGCACCCATGTTTGTTTTCATCAAAATACAGCTACCCTTATGATCAAAATGTGATCTTGACAGAGAAAGATGGGGACTCCATCATGAAGTTTGGCTTCTTCCGTTCCATTCATTGTACAACTAATCTTCATATTAAATACAGTAATGGAAGTTAAGTTAATCCAATGGAGCTTCATTATATAGTGATGGTTTCTGCTACTGATTTGACTATCAAGGAATCTTCTTTTTCCTCTTGTTTGTTTCTTCTTGTTCGTATTGAATCTGTGGAACCTTTTAGAGTAGAGCAATATAAACGGTTCTCATGAATTTAGACGGTAAGATCTCACATCGGTTGGGGAGGGGAACAAATTATCCTTTATAAAGATATGGAAACTTCTCCATAGTACACACGTTTTAAAAATTTTGAAGAAAAACCCAAAGAAGACAATATCACCTGTAAGATCTCAGGTCCGTTGGAGAGGAGAACGAAACACTCTTTACAAAAATATGGAAACCTCTCCCTAGTAGATATGTTTTAAAAATTTTGAAGAAAAACCCAAAGAAGGACAATATCACCTGTAAGATCTCAAGTCCGTTGGAGAGGAGGACGAAATACTCTTTATAAAGATATGGAAATCTTTCCCTACCAAACGTGTTCTAAAAATTTTGAGGAAAAGCCCAAAGAGGACAATATCACCGGTAAGATTCCTCATCCGTTGGAGAGGAGAACGAAACACTCATTATAAAGATATTGAAACCTCTCCCTAGCAGACGCATTTTAAAAATTTTGAAAAAAAATCCAAAAAATCCAAAGAAGACAATGTCACCTATAAGATCTCAGGTCCGTTGGAGAGAAGAACGAAACATTCTTTATAAAGATATGGAAATCTCTCCCTAACAAAAGCGTTTTAAAAATTGAGGAAAAGCCCGAAGAGGACAATATCACCTAAAAGATCCCACATTAGATGGAGAGGAGAACGAAACACCTTTTATAAAGATATAAAAACCTCTCCCTAACAAACGCATTTTAAAATTTTTGAGAGAAAATCCAAAAAAAACAATATCTACAAGCGGTAAGCTTAGACCGTTACAAGACCCATGAAGTTAGACAAAAGAGACTACTACTACTTATTGACTCGAAAAATGAACAGGAAAGACACTTTAAATAGCGGGAAAGCTTTGTTCCATTACGTTTCGGTCAAAGGTTCGAGACGATTCGATTATTCATCGAAAAACCACTTGTACAATATATATATATATTATCTACTCTCTTCATAGCTTTAGAACTGACTAATAACACAGCCCCTCTCTGAATCTCCATTGTATGTTGTATCTCCATCTGGTAAAATGTATCTGTCACCCATTGCTAACGTCAAAAAAACATTTGGCTACCGAAAAAACACGGATACTATCACTGATTCGATGGCAGGAACTTGATAGCATAACCTACAACGACGAGCAAAGATCTCGAGTAATTCTATTAAAAGACTCCCCTCCTGCAGACGTATGGCGGTTCGGAATTACAATCCCATTTAACAGGGCTGGCATGATCTTTTCGAGACGGGGTCGATTGAAAACTAGAACTGTGTATTGTTGCTGGTTTGTTGAGATTTGAAGCATCCTTTGGTTGATAACAAAATGGACTTACAAGGTGTTTTGGATCATTGGCAATGAATCTGGCTTGGGAGGCTGTGTGCTGCTTAAGAAACAATGTGGTAGGTGCTTGACCGTGTGGTAACGACATATTCAGATTCACAGGGCTCCCGAAGCCCCTCGAGGACGTTACATCGAGACTCTGCCCCAATAAGTTACCTGCATTTTGATGTGGCCAATGAGGATACGAACCAGAGGAGGCTTGATTTCGAACATGTTGCGAGGAACCGCCCGAAAAGCTTGGAACCTGACTAAGTTGTGGCTGCTTAAGTGACATAGCTACATCTTCCTCATCTTTGTTTACCACCATCAAGTTCTTTCCCATTAACCTCAGTACAGAATTAGACGTAACTGGACTAGCAGGCTCACGAGGACTCGAAAACTTCGGTCCCGGATAGGACTTGAAAGGCGACTTATTTACTGGGAACCCCATGCTCTCCGGTGTCGTCTGTCCAGGCCCTTCAGCCATAATATCAAAGCTGTTCGGTCTTCTGTCCATGGCTGGCATGGTTTCCGAAGTCATCGCGTGATGCCTCGTCAGTTGTGGTTCGGGATAAGTTACGTTGATGCCGACCCTTTGACAACAGCAAGGCTGGCCGTTATTTACGACGCCAAGAGCTCCCGTTTCAACTGGTAACTTATTGACTTTAAACATGTCACCATTTACATGAGGCAATGCACGAGCTTTTGGAGATACTGACCCGAACTTATCATGAAATACATCGGAAGATACTCGAGATGGATTGTTATGCTTAAAACAAGATCGAGATGCTGTGGTGTTAGAGATAGTTGATGTTGCAGAAATAGGAGAACCTGATGAATCCCCATCAATCAACTCGTGCTGATCGAGGCAGGAATGAACCCAGCTATAGCTCAACGAAGACGTTCCTCGGTATTCTGAGGATCTCATATCCCTCGGGGGGCTCGGCAAGAAAGATCCTGGAGGTCCTGGAATAGATATTGGATCGACCTCGAAAGACGACATTCCTCGCTTGGCCTCGGAATCCAGTTCTCCTTGAACATCATGTCCAATCATGGCACTGCAGTCTTCATCAGTGAAAAACATGTCTTGTCCAATACCGAAACCGCCTTTCGCTCCATCTGATGATCCATAGAAAGTGCATGAACAATTCTGAGTAGATTGTAGCGTGCCACACCGGGTCTTGACATTATTGTTCGTCTTACAAAAACACGTGAAGCTCTCGTTCGGAACTAATTTTGAAGAAGAATCCACACTAACATCTTCATGAAATGAGTTCTGTCTACTACCAAGTTCAAGTCCCTTGATGTTTTCTTGAAACTCGACATCTATTCGAATATGAGAATCCATGTTTTTCAACTCGTGACATCCGCCGTATTCAGGTTCCGAGTCCGAACTACTCAAAGCTATGGCTTTGCTCATTGCTTCTCTATTACTTCTGTTTTCCAATTCACTTACTTTGGTAACCTCTTCCTTTGCAGATTGATCACTTTCAATACTTCCATCTGATGAGCTACGGCTGTGATCAAAAGTAGAAAACCGATTAAACCGAGGAGACGGCTTAGAACCAGTAGACGACCGGCTACTGACATGGAACTCGTCTCGTCGGGAAGAGTTCAAATTTCTAACTTTCACTGCATTTTCATGGTAATTACTTGACAACTTCTTGTTAAAACCAGGTGGAGTTTGATATTTCATTTGTGTTGGAGAACCAATATCAACCATTTCACCAGAAAACGAACTTCTCAGGCTCCTCCGCACGGGAGACCGCCCTTTCTTGTCTGAAATATAGGCTTCATACTCCATGTTGTCCGTTCTCTCGCTGCTTTCAGGAGACGAAACACAATGCTCAACTTGACTTCTGTCAAACAAAGAGTCAGCTAAAACCGAGGGATCAGTATCAACATGCCATTTAAACGTAGAGGGTTGATAGCCTTCCTTTCTGGTGCTCACACTTGCTCTGGTTCGTTTCGAGCACGCCCATTGTCGTAAAGTTCCCGAATCGTGGGGTTTCGCTTGCTTCGTTATTTTATGTACCTCCAATCTACTACATCCATTCCGTTCAGTGTGTCCTTGAACCTTATCAGTCAATCAAGGATAAGCAAACTCAGTGACCATACTAGGATAAACGAGAATGTCGAAGCTATTCTAAAATAACGTTCGAGTTTAAGCATTGCATGAATCGTAAATAATTTATCATGACATGAATATTTCGGGTTCGAATAATGTTAAAACTCCATGAGTACCTGAGAAATGCACCGTTGAGAGGGAACTTTTCTACCTTCAGCAGCTACTTTAAGATACTTGTGATGCTTAGTTGAATGACCTTTCTTCTTTTTGGCTGAATGAAACTTCCTTACCGTTACTCCGTTGAGTTTCTTAGAACCAAGTTCATTTTGCGATATCGACAACGATGACGAAGAACTAAACTTGGACAAAATTCGAAGTTTCGTGCCATTGGCATCAATATAAACTGCACCTGCACTATGATCATCAATGTCCTCTGGATGAACTGGCATCACTTTCTGCTTTTTCCCTTCATTAATCTGACAATTTTCGATATTCTCAGCAGGAAAGCCCGACGAAGTGGCCCAAGCGGTACCATTTCGTCTGTCAAGCTCTTCCAACGTGCAAGAACGAGCTGTAGCGTAGATATCAACCATCAATTTCGTCTTCCTCGGCTTGATCCTAAACCGTGTGAGTTTGGAGTCTGATGTACACTTTGGAGTTGATGCTATAGAAAGACACTGATCAATATGAGCATTTAAAGTGGTGTTTGATGAAGAGGAGAACGTCTTGCAGACAGGGCATATTTTCGAAGCCATCGACTCCGATACCGTACTAAGACTCGCAGCAATATCTACAGTTGATGTTTGGTCAACGTGATTGGTCGATTTTCTGATAATCTTGCATCTTTTACTTGAGGTTTTGATCTTACTTTCGTTCTTTTCAGATGCTGGAAAACAAGTACGCTCCACTTCGGCCGGGGTTTCGGATAAAGTATCGGTTTTTAAAGATGAACTAGATGGTCCACTTGTGGAAACCAATTCTTTTTGGGGTTGTGAGATGCTTGTCATGGTGGAAGAGAAACCATTTTCTCCTTCACATCTGCATGAACTCGATTCCGTGCAAGTTCTTACTAGCTTTTCGTCGAACTTAGCATCCGATTGCTCTAGTTCTACAGGTTCTTTAGGCTCAGAGAACTCTCCATGAAGAACACTTGATGTTGAACTTTCACCCCGCTGGTTTCGGACACGATTCGGAGACTGAAACGGTGGTAGTAAATCCTTTACACCATGTTTCAAACAAAGCTGCAAATTCTTGAGGGAAAACGGCCAGTTGTTTTCGATATCCTTGCTCCGACAACCAAAAACATAATCTCTGCATCAAAACCATTCCTTTCCATTAACAAACTAGCACAAGCTCGAAACCTCGTAAGAACATAAGCTTTCAGCTTAGCAGTATCCAACCAGAAAGTTCAAGAATCAAAATCTTAAGACATTTGATCAAGAAATCAAATGAATGGTTCCAAAAGAGAGGTAGAATCAAATGTCATAGACCACTCGAGCCTGGTGATTACTAATTATCGAGTTCGTTAAACACACGACATGGTAAGAACAAAGAAAACAGATATTAAAAGTTTCCAAAGGCAGATCTAGAGAACCCATTGAGAAGCAAAAGTGTACAAAAATAGTAACAATACGAGTTCATGAGCCAGGCCCCATGGCGGGTGTAACGGCTCAGACCCACCGCTAGCAGATATTGTTCTCTTTGGGCTTTCACGCGTCTGGTAGGGAGAGGTTTCCACACCCTTATAAAGGGTCTTTCGTTCTCCTCTCCAACCGATAGGACTAAACCACAAGCAAGCAAGCGAAATTTACAATATGGATCTACCCCAACAGAGATTTTCCAAGATGGGTTCATATGACTTTGAGATCATCAAAGAGAAAAGAACGCACACAAACATGATATCTGTTCATCAAGCCAAAGTGTGAAGGGAGTACCTCAAGGAGAAGTTAGGGAAGGTGGAGTGGTCAAGAATGGCGGCGTTTTGAGTAGGCCTCTCATCATTGTTGATACTCAATGGCTGATATGAGGGATCTGGTGGAGGGTTTTCAATGGATAACATCTGATGAAAAGCTTCTCTAATGATTTTGTGCTGTTCTTAAAACAGTCACAAGCTCTTCCACTACTACTACTACTACTACTAGTTCTTATCTTTAACTTAGAGTTCAGCATATATATATAAAAACAGAACTACAGTTCTTTCACCCAAAATCAGTAGAACAAAGGTGAAGCAAACCCACCAGAATCATTATCCATTAACCTACAAAAAATGAAGAAATCAACATGAAATCATGAAATACAAGAGAGATCCAAGCAAAAAAAAGCAGAATAGAACACTCTAGAATCAGGTAGAACGTTATTTCATGTGATGCAAAGAAACAAGAACAAAATTAAGTGGGTTTTGAGTATCATTTCATGTGGATTCAACCCAGAAAAATGCTCAAAGTCATCAAAGGTCAGATGGGTAGACGAAAAATGACATGAAATTTGAAGATCAAAAAACAAACCCATCAAAGAACATGAAAACAACCGATTAAAGAAACCCATCAGTACAAGAACAAGAAAACCCCCAAATCTTGGTTTCTGAACAGTAGAGGTCAGAAAAAGAAACCCAAATCGATGAAAAACAGAACCGAGTGAGAGACAGCCATGAAATAACCCAAAAACAAGACGATTAAGCAAAAACAAAGAACACCCAGAAGAGGATCCACATAAACAGAGGAGGTAGAACACAAACCTAAGAATCTGATGATGAAATTAGCAGAAGTTCATGAGAAAAAAAGGGTGTTTGAAAGGGGGGAATGGAGAAAAAGAGAGAAAAAAACAGCACCACCCACTCACACATCAAACGGGCATCAGGTTCTTTGTCAAAAGCAGGCTTTGGAGCACTAAGCAAACCACGATTCACCCCTCAATCTGTGAATATGCGCCAGGAGACCAACTTTTTGGAGGAGAGAGAAAATTGAAGCAAAGAAAACAATAATGAAGAGAGAGAGAGAGGGAGAGGGAGGGAGAAGAAAAAAGTGTGTTTGGGTAATTGGGTGCATAATTTTTCTTCATTTTCTTTATCTCTGTTCAGTTTTGTAAAATACAGAGGAAAGCTGCCTCTGCCACTAACCTTCCATTTGTAACTCAATTAATTATATGTTCTACAAAATGATTTATTTTTTGGAACTAAAAGTAATTAAATTATTAAACTAAGTAATTTTTTATAATTTTAATATTGATAGGACGCATTTTCATTTATATTCTAGTAGATTAATTTTGACCGTCAACAAAAATTCAATTTTTTAAAAATATTTTGTGTCCGATAATTATTTGATTTAAGATTTTGATTTTTTATAATTAAATTTATAAACTCCATTTTAGTCGTATCTAGGGTTGGATTGAACTGTAACTCTATTTTTAAGTTGGTTGGGTTGACCCAACAAAAATACGTCAATAAGTGAACTGGCTGAATTTGTTGGTTTTTCAAAAATTCAACTCAACCCAAACTCAAAAAAAAAAAAAAATCCTACACGATTTTTTTGTTATCACTTTTTCGGAATATTTTCGCAATTTAAATTTTAAATTAAGTTTAAAAAATTAAGAAAAGCAGTTTTAGAATTTTTATTTTAGATTAGTTGATTATTAAAAACTGATAAAATTAAATTAGAAAGAAAAAAGAAAAAAGAATTAAAAATAAATCAAATAAAATAAAATAAAGATAGAAGAGTGACGGCTCCCCCGAAATGTCGGTTTTCAGTCAGTTCTTAGGGTTAAAATTGTCACAAAACATAATGGACACTACACGACAAAACCCTGTCTCTGTTTTGCCTTCCACTATTCCCTTTTTACCCTCTCCCATAACCTTGCAATTTCCTCTCTTCCTGCTTTTCTTTGGGCTTTTCTGTAATTTCATACTTCAAATTAGTTTAATGTCTTCCCTACATTAGTTAATGCCATTAGTTTATTTATGATAGTTTTTTTTAATTATTATTTAAAAAATTATAATTATTCACCTAACCTTTACAATCCGTTAAAAATTATAATTACCATTAAATATTTTTAATATTTTATAAAATTATGATTAGATTGGGTTCGGTGTAATTCTATTCTCAAGTTTATCTCATTGATTGGATCAAATAAACGTTAACCTCCAAACCAAAATAAAATTTAATCCAACCTTATCTAACCTTTATAATTTGGGTTGGGTAGTCTGAATTGGTCGGATTATCTCGACCAAAAAAATTCTAACTCATAAATTGAATTTAATTTCCAATTTTCTAAATTGGGTTAGAAAGTCTTAGTTGCTCGAGTTATTATATCATATATTACATTATAAATTTGATTCTAAAATTTTAAATTTATGTCTAATAAATTTCTAAACTTTCAAAAATATTTAATATGAAAAGCTTTTGGATTGGTGGTTTATAGAAAAGTACTCTCTCCAGATTTCCGGGAAAAGCATGAAAAAAAAGGCTCGAATGGTATGATCCCTCCGTCACCCCAGAATGAAAGGGGCGATCTCGTAGTTCTTGGTCTGTGAAGATACGTTGTTAGGTGCTCCATTTTATTTTCCCATTGAGGCCGAACCTAAACCTGTGCTCGAGAGATAGCTGTCCATATACTGATAAATGGATTCTCGAGAAGAGAGGAGCCAAGGTGGTCCCCCCGGACCGCCCGGATCCCACGAGTGAATAAAAAGTTGGATCTACATTGGATCTTACCTGAATCGACCCATCTCCACTCAAATTTTAAATTTTTAATGTTTTGTCTAATAAATTTTTTAGCATATTTAACTCAATAAATTATATAATTCAAAAAAAAAAATTCTAAATGATTTTCATGATCAATAATTGCAAAAATGAATATTCTAATAATAATTTCAATAATGCAATATATATATATATATTTAAAATTAGGAGTTTAAAAAAGGAAAAATGTGAATAAACTTTTTATTGTAAAATGAAATTATAATGTTTGTAACTAATAAGGTAGTTAAGTAAGATTTTTTTAAAATAAAATAAAATAAAAAACGGATAGCCGAACTCATACCAAATGTATTGGGTCGTGAACTCTATTTTAATTGCAACCCAACACCACATTTGATTGATTAGTCTTCGGCTCCATCTTTTTTGACCTCCAATCATCCTTCGCAGACCCACCATTCGCCATACTTTGTACATACAACCTCATCTTCTCCAACAAAATCGATTTCCTCTTTGCCAACATAGCCTCTTTCATTTTTTTTTCTTCCCAATTGGCACTTTATCCTTTACAAATTCTTTAACTTTAGGGATCCTCATCAGTGTTTTCATCAGAAATATTTGGAATCTCGACAAGTCAATCGATCTTCTGCAGAGATTTACCTTCAGAATCTGAACGCTGCATTGGCCTATTCGCCAACTAAGTCGCCACCAGCCTCCTCACCAAAATTGACTCTTTTACCCACTATGGCGACTCTTCCGACTTCAACATTTCTTCGTATCTTGCTCTGGGGGGGCGTGGCTCCATCTACGTCCATTGAAACTTCACCACCTGCTATAGCGCTGACTACTTCTCCATCGGCTCCACCTAGTGTTCCTTCGGAATCACCAACGTAAACTCCAGTTGCAAAATATGCTCAAGATATTCTTACTCGTGCTCATTTGCTAGATAGAAAATCAGTCCACAAGGCACAGACCCCATTTCGTCTCTGCCCCTCTCTTTCTTTCTTCGTCAAAAATACACCCTAGGGTATGCATTCTCTGTTTCTTCCCTATTCGTCATCTCTTGCTTTGACGGTCACCAAGTCCACCCTTCCTTCTTCACAGCCACTGTCGAACACTCTCTCTCTGTCTCTGCCCTTTTCTCGTAATATAGTCATCGCTCTAATTTTGGAGCCTCTACCTTGAGTCTCTATAGCCCACAACCCATGGTTATTTTGCAACACGATGATGGTTCTCTTTTCTCATATTCTACTCTCTATTGACCTCTCTTTGAATTTTTCAGATCCAAGCTTCACGTCGTTCAAATCTAATGCTCAGTTTGCAGGGGGTGTTAAAGGATATTTAGCATTCAATTACGGTTCCCATATGTACCATATTTGATATTTTATTGAAGGCAAATATATATTTGTCTTCCATTACGGTTTACCATAGGTATCATATTTGACCTTTATTATATGCAAATATACTGTATGATGTTCCTTCCGTTCCATTTCCATTTCCATTTCCATTTCCATTTCCATTTCCATCTCCATCTCCATCGTAATTTATTTGATAATTATAAATAGAGAATTCACTACCATTTCGGTGCGGTGGTTTTAACAAATATTTTCATTATGTGTCACAATTTCACCGTAAAGACAGTAGATCAACTCTCATATGTGGACAGATAAGGTGGCTACCCTCAAGTGGCGCCCATTGGGCCACGTGAAGACCAAGACAAACAAGTGTCATGATGCCACCAAGAAAGACGATCCATCATCCAACACACCTAGAAGAGTGTGCATGAAAGCCAAGTTGAGGCATAAGTGAGGTTGGAGAGAACAAGACAACACGAGTGTCAAAGACAAGCTTAAAGAGGGCCGAGTAAGGTTTTAGACCATAACCTCAGAAATCGAGGTTTCAATATAAGTTTTGACATGCTGCTCTAGAGTTAAATAAGTCTATATGAAAGATGAAAACTCACCAAATTTAATGTTAATAAGATATTTGACGGATGCTCCACAGAGCCATATGATCGCTTGCCAAAATAATGTCTACCAAGAAAGATTAGAAATGACTCAAAAAATGTACTATAGGAGAAGCATAGTGTTAAGTTCTCTACCACCTTTGGCCCTGTAACCTAAGCAATGTACTCTATGGCACACAAATGTCTCAAGTGACTTCCCTTGAAATGGGTCTTTCAAAGACAGTGTCGAACGACATAGGTATGTCGACGTTGTGCCCCTACCCATGTGTTGGAGGTTGATATATGCACCCGATATTCAGTACCAAGTCCATAAATGATATGACATGGACATGAGAGGATCCAATGGCTCGATAGAGCCAAGAAGAATGGATGTTCAAGGTGTCCCAATGATATGAACAACACATGGGCTCGTCTCAATGAGCATGACCAAATGAGCTACGATGGCCGATGACATCCCGGGACTTGAGATGACATTAAGACATGTGGGTCGTATTAACTGGAAACCTAAGATAACAAAATGAGATGTGACGTTGCATGTGAGAGACCTTGGCCCTAAGTAGAGGCAAGGTCCAGGCAGCATGTGTGACCAAACAAGGTTAGATTCTGCATGAATTATTTTTAATTAGTGAATCGAACTTCACATAAAGTCCAACAAAACCACAAAGACGGACAAAAGTATATATGAGCTTTAGATTTCCCATAAGAGCGTATCAAGATCATTACGCTCATAGTTAAAAATATACATCCTTGACACGATGCATCAATGAACTGACCTACTAAGACATTCATATAAAACAGCTCACATTTAGAACATGCAATCTGGCACTTTCAATTCAATTAACACATTCCAATCCAGTACCTACCCAAGGAAGAAACTCACCAGAATTTATACTAATTTGAAATCCAATACGGAACGTGAAGCGGCCTTGTTCTCTGTTTACGCGTCACTTCCTTCCGCCGGGTTCCTTCCCGGCTTAGCTCGCCGGAAGTTGAATTCCCAAATTTCCCCTTTGAAATTCGATTCCATTCATTACCCAATTCACCTTTTTCGTTGATTTTCCCGTTTCGATTCGTGGGTCTTTGCTAACTAACAAAAGGCTCACCGTCTTCGAACTTGGGAGTTCTTGGGCTATATCGGAAGGGGAATTTTCCGGTTATAATCGCCTTCTTAGATCTATGGAGGATCACAATGAGGAAAACCATGATTTAGAATTGCAAGATGGCGATGAACTTCATCCAATGAGAACTAACAGTGGAAAACGCGGAGCGTTTCTGGATCTGTTTCATCATCTCAATCGAGGCGGCAGCTTTTCTGGTCGTCGTCTCAATTACAAGCGTCTTGAAACGGAGAATCATAGCGTTAATTTCAACCCTTCTTCTGTTAATATTGTCGGTAGAAATCGTACGGCTTCTTCTTCTTCTTCTTCATCTTCATCTTCTTCTTCCGATCGTCACAACAATTCGCATTCTCTTCAAACCCCAACTGTAATCGATGGCGAAATCGACGACAATATCGATGATTCTGCCCCTCCTGAATGGGCTTTGCTCCTTATTGCCTGTCTTCTTGGTCTCGCCACCGGTCTTTGCGTTGCAGCTTTTAACATTGGGGTTAGTTTCTCTGTTCTGTTCTTAAATTTGCAGCATCTAATTATGGTTTAAATGATCGTTTGGTTTCTTGGATGAAGTTTTTGTAATCCCCATTGGGTTGTTCTGAAATTAATGATTTCATTTCGTTGTAATCTTCATTCTGTCAATGAAAGTATGTTTTAAAAAGAATGATATGAATGTTGCTGATGCCATGGTTCTGAAGTAGGTACATGTAATCCATGAATGGGCTTGGGCTGGCACTCCAAATGAGGGTGCTGCTTGGCTTCGCTTACAGAGAATGGCTGATACATGGCATCGCATTCTCTTGATACCAGTAACTGGAGGTGTTATAGTGGGTATGATGCATGGTTTGCTTGAGATACTCAGCCAAATAAAACAGTCAAGTTCTTCCCAAAGGCAAGGATTCGATTTACTTTCTGGAATTTTTCCTACGGTTAAAGCCATTCAAGCAGCCATCACTTTAGGTACTGGCTGTTCATTGGGTCCTGAAGGGCCTAGTGTAGATATTGGGAAATCATGTGCCAATGGATTCTATCTTATGATGGAAAACAACAGTGAAAAGATAAAAATAGCATTTGTTGCAGCTGGTGCAGCAGCTGGAATTGCTTCCGGTATTCGACTAATCTTTGTATATGCTATAACTCGTACAATACATATCCCCTCCGACCCCCGAAGTTTTGCTGATCTTTCCTCTTTGTTGAGGCGTCTACTTGTTCTGTGGCTAATTTGTTTTATATCCTTCTCTTTTAGGCTTCAATGCAGCTGTTGCTGGTAGCTTCTTTGCAATCGAAACTGTATTAAGGCCTCTACGTGCAGAAAATTCACCTCCTTTTACAACTGCGATGATCATATTGGCATCTGTTATTTCTTCTACAGTCTCGAATGTTTTACTTGGTGCACAGTCTGCTTTCACAGTACCTACTTATGATTTGAAATCTGCTGCTGGTATTATGTCACCCACTCCCTTTGTTTGGTTATTTCAATTATCTGATGTCGTCTTCTGTTTAGTAGGAATTTGTTGTTGCATGATAGTATAGGCATGTCGTAATCTATTCCATCCTATATTTCTTATTATTATCCTTGTGACTTTTAGATTTCATGAGGAACATTACAAGTTTCATGAATCTTGAGTAACAAAAGAGGTACAAAATAAAGGAAGGGGAAAAAGACTTAAATGTCACAGGTTTCTTAAAAATAACCACAATCAAGATTAATAGATCCATAATTTGTCAATTTTATGTCTAGTAGATCGGTAAGTTTTAAAAAAATGGAACCGAATAGACACAAGCCTCAAAGTTCAGGACTAACTTTGTAATTTAACCATATGTTCTTCGTAAAATGAAATGTAACAAGGGAAGGAAAGGCCTTCCTTTTATGGAAGGTGGATTACAAAAGACTTCACCAACCAACAGGATAAGTAAAGCTGTGAATTTGGAAGGATGTAAGCATTTACCCCAAGAAAAGCTATAAAAAGAACTAGCTGAATAATGCTATCAAAAGGTGGGGGTAGTTTGTTGAACACCCGATTGTTCCTTTCGCACCAAAGGTTCCCAAAAAATGCTTGGCTGATGTAAAGCCGTATAGTCCTCTTCTCGGCTTTGAGTCGATGGCTTAGGAAAACATGTGCAAGGAAGTCGGATGCATTTTGTTTTTTTTTTTTCTTTGTCGTGTAACTTAATTTCCTCCAACAAAGGAACAACTAGAAGTAGATCATCTTTTATTTGTACTTCCTGCCCAATCTACACGAGTATAAACTTTTGGAAGATGGTCATGCTCGTAAAATAGTATACTTCTAGAATTCCATTCTTGTATTTCAAGATTCTATACACAGCTTCAAAATGAGTGGTCTAGATAAGTGTATAAATAACTCACCATACTCGTTGCAAATGCAATATCTAAGCATATGTGAGATAAATAACTTTGTCTAGTACATCGACAAATCTTTGGTATCGATCTTTTTCCTCTTACTTGTTCAGCTTTTGTAGCTTGTAATTTTAAGTTGGTTTGATAGGAATTTCTACGGTTCAACATCCAAGTAAACTTTTCTCTTGAAGTAAGTCGATAACATATTTCCTTAGCTTAATGAAGATACCTTTTTAAAATCTTGAGACAGTGTGCCTATTAAGTACTTTAAGGCTCCCAAACTCACTTGCAAGCTTGTTCTTAAGATCTAGTAAACCTTCTTCATCATTACCTTTGAGAATAATATTACTTTCTCCTTCTGCTGTCGTATGCACAATTTTTTAAGTTTAAAGAGGACCAAAATTACATCCGCTGTCATATGCCACCACTTTTTTCTCATCTCTTTTTTGCTTTCCTCTTATTTTCTTTTCCTTTCCTCCTCCTCTATCCGGATTTAAAATTTTGGCTCTATAAAAGAAGTTTAATAGATACAATAGTCGTCTATGTAAGTAATTTTCAGATTTGCCCTAACCTTTTATCTTTAAACAAGAAACAACATGGCTTGTCCTTGATCTTTTATAACACGGGTTTTTACCTTGAATGCATTAGTTTTAATTAATTAGGCTCCATAAGGAAACTATTAAGAAAATTAGTGATAAATACATTAATTTTAAATTATTATTTTGTTGATAGCTTTAGACATATGGTCATGCCACTTCGAATGTTGCTTGAACATGTGGAAATGCCCACACAAATACCAAAATGGACCTACATGTAACCTGATCTGCCCACATTATTCTATTTGTGTGAAACCCACGAACATAAAAATAAAAACCACTCAAATACCCATTGTTTCGTTGTAGAATTGCCATGGCACAAGTGTATAAACTGATTAATACCATATAAGCCTATTAATTTTGATTCATTATTGATTACCTCGTGTTTCATTGTAGAACTTCCATTGTACTTGATATTGGGAATGCTATGTGGCGTTGTGAGTGTAGCAGTTACACGTTTAGTTGCTTGGTTCGATAAATCATTTGAATTCATCAAGGAAAGGTTTGGTCTTCCTCCTGTTGTCTGTCCTGCTTTAGGCGGTTTGGGAGCTGGAATAATTGCTCTCAAGTACCCAGGAATACTTTATTGGGGTTTTACAAACGTTGAAGAAATCCTTCATACTGGTAACCGTCCTTCAGCTCCTGGGATTTGGTTATTAACTCAGATAGCAGCTGCAAAAGTCGTAGCTACTTCTCTGTGCAAAGGTTCCGGGCTCGTGGGTGGCCTTTATGCACCCAGTCTAATGATTGGTGCAGCTGTCGGTGCTGTATTTGGGGGCTCAGCTGTTGAACTTATTAATATTGCAATTCCTGGAAATGCAGCTGTTGCACAGCCTCAAGCATATGCACTCGTAATTTTCTTTTTCGTAGTTTCCTTTTTGTAATTTTCTTTAGCTGGTTTCTTCCTACATAACTTTGTTCTATTCCTTAAATTTGATGCCATTATACAGGTTGGAATGGCTGCTACGCTGGCCTCGGTCTGTTCAGTGCCCTTGACATCCGTTCTACTTCTGTTTGAGCTGACAAAGGATTATAGGATACTCCTTCCTCTCATGGCAAGTATTTCGTGATATCTTTAGTACACTCTTCTACAGATGCATTTTTTTAAAGGAGATCCTTCAAGTAATTTGCTCATAATGCTTTAGAGAACAAAATTTATGGTAATCAAGAATCTAATAATGTGGATAGTGCCTGTATTTAGTATTTAATTCATCCTTCGTAATGGATGCCATGACAATATCTTTCGGAGTTATCTTAAAGGCTTCCTTTAGGGATATTTGTTTTCGAAATGTCGATTTCTAAACCTCTTGCTCGGTCTTGTCGTCAATTTTTAATCCAAAACCAAGAGTTCTTTTATCAAACTAATGATAAAAAGTTAAATCTTAGTGTGAGTTGTAGTTTTTACGCATTAACAGGTATGCAGTCGTTACTACACAATTCAAACTTAGGGAGCATACCAGTTGCAATTTTAAAACTCTTTGATATCTCATTCTTCCAACATGGTTCGATTATATTGGTTCATTATTCCGATCGCTAGACATTGTGAAGCATATACTTCTCGGGGACTGGTTCTTATTTTCCTTACTGCTGTCATATGAGTAGGGGGCCGTAGGCTTGGCCATATGGGTTCCTTCCGTTACAAAACAGACCAAGGAAATTGAATCATCCAATAAGCGGGGTTTCGCTAGAGGTTATACGCCTCTTTCACCTTCTGAACATAAAGATGGGGCATCTTGGAGATATGATAATATTGACAATGGCTTGGAGCTCTCTGAGATAGCAAATCCATCTGACCATGAATCTACTTATGATGATAATCTTCTCGATGACCTAAAGGTACTTATTTCTTCTCTCCCCTTACCTGCATCTATCCCTTAGCAACTTGCTATTTATCCTAACTTTTATTCTTGACACTCCTGCCTTTCAGGTTTCTCAAGCGATGTCGAAGAACTATCTGAAGGTTTCATTTTCCATATATTTGAAAGATGCATTAAAATATATGAAAGATAACCAGCAGAACTGTGCATTAGTGGTCGATGATGATGATTTCCTCGAAGGGATCTTGACATATGGTGACATTAAACGATATTTCTTCAAGAAATATGGTGATGCTTTGAAGGGTGATTCCCTCAGTGTATGTATCCATTATCCGTGCATTTTTTGTTCACTTTTATTTGCTCATTTTGCTAATACTTCTTGTCTCCAGGAAAAACTCCTTATCAAACATAAAATCATTTCCGTATGCGTGCATTGTTTTATGATCTGTACATTGACTAATGATCTTGTGTTGATTCTCAATATAATTTCTTCTTTTCGTTTCATTTGTACTCTTCAATACAAATAACAAAGAACCCCCAAAACCTTTGCAGGTGGATACCGGCCTTGTGTCCTCTATTTACACTCGAGGGATTAGGTACCGTGGGCGAGAACGAGGAATTCTAACATGCCACCCTGACACTGATCTCGTAACTGCCAAGGAACTAATGGAGGCTAAGGGTATAAAGCAGTTGCCTGTTGTTAAGCGTAGTAAAGAAAGGAAGAAAAGAATCGTAGCTGTTCTCCACTATGATTCAATCTTTAGCTGTCTCAGGTTGTTAATGAATCTTAAATTTTGTTTTCTATTAATAAATTATCGTTCACCCGGACGGTAATGGGTACTTGGACTTGAGTCGTTTCTCGAGATTTATCGTTTATGCATCTGGATTTTTATTGTAAGAGGCGTTTTTGTTTATGTGCAGAGAGGTCTTGAATCAAAGGGAAACTGAGAAGGTTGTCCAGGAGAGTGTTGCAGATGGTCATTAAGAAGCTGCGCAACATATTCAGAGATCAAATGTTGAACTACAATGATCTGATTTGGTCTTAAGAGAAGAGATATAAACTATATGGTGAGTAGATTTGTTATGCAATATTTTTCCAAGTAATTTAGCAAATTGTATCATAATACACAGATTAATTTAGAAGCGGAGATGAACCTTCATAGTCTGAGGAGTCCATTTGGTTTATTAGGGTATATACGAGTCGTCATACCTGTTCGGTTAGGTTTCAATGTAGCTGGTTCATTTTTTGTTCTCCTGATATGTAAGTTATAGTGGATCCATTTCAATGAATTAGCTCATTCCCATTTCTCATGATTTGCTTGCTTGTATTGTTTTCCGAGTATCAAAAGAGCTGCCTCATCGGTCGAAAAGTACAAAAGTTATAACAAAGTTCTAAAACATTTGTTTGATATTGACATAAACCAACTGTTTCCACAAGAATTATGTTGCCCATCGACTCATCGATCATCATATATGTGTATTCATATTATGATAACTGTGTGTACCAGTAAGAGGTTTTAGTTTCCTAGAGAACAAAGATTGGGAACAAAAGGTAAAATAAGAACTCACATCTCAGGCCCAAGTGGAAGCCTACTCATAATTTGCTGATACACTGTTGAACCATTGGAGAAGTTCAAGCCAAGATCAGATGTAGGTTCTAGATTGGGCTCACCTTTAGGCAACAAGAAACCCATTTCATGAACATTGTGTGCTTGTGCTAAGTATGGATGCATTGGTATAACAGGAAGCTTGGCTTGACCAGCTGATGCCATGGTCATGGTCAGGTTTAGATTTCTCAGTCCAGGTTGGTTCATACCAAAACCGAAGCCATGGGCATGGGCAGTGCCCATCGGTTGTCTTCCAGCAAGGCCGAAGGCTGGCCTTCCGACTCTTGGCATGTTGTTTTGAGGCTGTGGTGGCCCTGGCCTGTGAGCATGAGTAGCGGTCGAGTTTTGACCCGTTACTGGACTGGATGTGCATGAACTGATGTGGCTGCTATTCCGAGCAGCAGGAACATCGTGATTGTGCTTTCCTTCATATGTGGTTATCACTGACTTCAGGTCATGTGACGCTCGCTCGACATGCTTCCTCACTGTGCAGCCGGGATTCGTGCACTTGTAGTAACTCCTGTACACAAGCAACTTTGTCAAAGATAAACTTAGTGACAGGACGAGAGCGCACACAAACATGGAATTTGATGTACCTAGGATTCGGATTTCCCTTCACCACCTTCTGTCCGTATTTACGCCAACGATAGCCATCATCGAGAATATCTACTTCACTGGTAGTCTGAACAACAACTCTAGGCTCACGGATAGCTCTAGTAGCCCCACTCATTTCCGTTACATAGGCGTCGAGTTTCCTGATAGATATCGAAGCAAACCCAAGTTAAATTTCATGGTTCTTTTCATATGATTCATAAAATAAGATGGCTATACCTTTTCTTAGACTCAGATTCATCTCCTTCCCCCTCATATCCCATTGTTATACTTCCATGTGTTCCTCTATCATCTTCATCTTCATCATTAGAGAATGTGGATGAGGCATCAATGGCCTCAGCTGTTTCAATATGATTGCCATATTCAGGACCCAATGATGCTGAAGAACTCACCTCAAGGTTGCTATGCATCCAATCAGGAGTCCCTTTTTGTGAATCTTCCCACAGGGGAACTTCAGCATTCTGTTGGCCTGCTTGTACAGGGATGTCTAGTTGCATATTGATATGGGAATCCGATGCTCGTCGATTCGGTGAGGGTTTTACATGGTTATGCGTTCCTTTATAGATGATCTCTGTTATATGGCCTTCATGAGATCGCTCGACCTTCTTCTTGACCTGACAGTTCGGATGTGTGCACTTGTAATAACTCCGAGGATACTCGCTTCCTTTAACCTGTTTTTGTCCATATTTTCTCCAGTTATATCCATCCTCCGAGGGCGCACCACAACCACCACTGGCCATCGAATCCCCAGTGCCACGTTGCTCCCCTTCATCCGGTTGTTCATCGAGCGGTGACGAATGTTCACCACCACACACAGAATCGAAGGGTCTTTGATCATTCAACAAGTTCTTACCCCCATCGTCCCTCTCCGTGCACGACGTAGAGAGCCCCATTTGAGGATGATGATTGATTCTATTTTCGGGTTGATAAGAATTTTCTGAGGGTAGGCCCGGAACCTCAATTCTTGGACAAGATTGTGGAAGTGAAATTACTTTGCTTGCTGCACCATGAAAAAATGATGATCCTGATTCCACACTGGGTCTGAAAGCAAACGCTGAACCGTTATCATCGAATGGATTGTCGTTGCCTCTATTGTTCGCCTCCAACATCATCGTCGAGCTACGATAACTAACGTTCGCTACAAACGGGAACTTTCCCGTTGTGGGAGATTGCTGAGCCTGCAACAAGACAGATGAAGAACAACAAGTATAAACAAATTTAACATGAAGATTAGATATAAACTTCATAAATCAAGTGTTCAGCTTACCAATGAATTTGAAAGAAAAACTGGAGAATCAAGCAATGTAGTTGGACTCAAACCAGGCGGTATGGTCAAGTAAGGAGACTTCACTTCCTCTGTTGATCTAATGTTCTCTGTATTCAATCTTGGAGCATTAAATCCAGCTCTTGCTGCAATCCTTTCCACAAGTCCCCCACGGAATTTCTGCTCCGATACCGTACCGAACTCCGTCGACCGATCGCCAGAGTTTACACCAGGGATCCCGCCTCTTGCAATGATGTTTTTAGACACCGTGTGTTCTTGAGACCCGAGAAAGATTTTTTCGGGTTTATCAGTGCTGGTAATGTCCATTGTAGGTCTAGAACCAGCAACATCCTCCTCTAGGATTTGCATTGCTGAGAAGAAGGTTCTTGGGCTGGGACTTGGAGGCACCCAATCCTCAATAATAGCAACATTATCATCAGTCCTCCCCATTACTACTCGATCGATCCCGACCTCGAAAATCTCGACGAAATCCTAAGAAACAACACAATCATTTAACAATTTGAAGTTCAGCTGGTAATCTAATCTCCTTCACAACGAAATTAGGATTTTCATTATCAATCATAGCTCCCAAACAACACAGCTAGCTAAAATGTTGAACAGAACATCAACATGTCTGTCTGTTCTTGTTATTACTATCATAGTTTAAGAATCAAACCCCAGAAACCACCAAGAACATGAAAATCAATAGAAACAGACATATCAAATATGTCGTAAAACATCCAAAATGGTATCAGATCCGAAGATCCCGCGAAGATCTAAGCATAAAACATCGAAGCCATAACAAAATAGAACAGAATCAAAAGCAGACAGAATTGAGAAAATCAAACAACAGATTCGGACATGGATTACCTGAGTGAATTAGCGGTCGGAAACGGAAATCAAAACAGAGAAGAACAAGAAATGGGTTCCGACATCGAAAATGAAAAGACGGCAAAATCCCAGAAGATGAAACAAGGTTTAGGGATCATTGAACAAAAACAAAAAACAATCAACAATCCCTGCGGCTGTTCTTCCCTTTTTCTTTTGTCTGTCTCAAATTGGCGTTTTGTGATTGTGGTCAAAACTCAATTGATGAAGAACAATGAACATGAGTGGAGTGTTTGTATTCCGAGACAAAATTACAGAGCTGCAAAAACCCAGAAACGAAGATTAAAAAAAAAATGGTCGGACCCCTCTGAAGAGAAAAAGGCGAAGAGAAGGGATTATGTTTGGACGACAGGAAATGGAACGGAATCTTTCAATTTCAAGAAAGAAAAAAAGAAAAAAAAAAAAAAAAGTGAAAAGAAATTTTAAATATTTTTTTAAAAAAATATATTTATTTCCAAAAACTTCTTTTTGTATTATTGTCTGTCTTTTTTAAAAAAAAAAAATAACTAAATTATTCCATTTTAAAAAATATATATCCTTTTTTTAAGGGCCCATTTTTTAAAATATATTTTTAAAAAAAATATTTATTTATTTCCAATACTTCTTTGTATTATTTGTCTCTCAATTAATAATAATATTTTTTTGTGGGTGTTTTTTTCTTAAATTTTTCGTCAAAATAAAAAATGAGAGAAAAAAAATATAATTAATTATTTTATAAAATATACAATAATGGAATTGATTTGGTGCCTTAAAATCAGCAATAATATTATTTTTAATTAAACAAGAAAGTCAATAATACAAATATAATGTAATATAGATGTCTTAGGTCAATGGCCTAACACATGTAACCTATAGTTTTTAAATATAATTTTTTTTTAATTTTTAATTTTACTTTTTATTTTCCCTCTAATTACCCTTTTTTAGGATCCGCAACAGGCTGGGTCTGGGTCGAGATCAGTATTGTTAGATGTTAAAGTTTGTTCGGGTTGTAATTTTTTTTCAACTTAAATAACTTTTATTAAATAATAAACCCAACCGTAACTTTTTTGAGTTGGGTTCGAGTCATTTTATTCAAATTTTTTTTAATGAAAAGTAAAATATTAGTTCATAAAACATTTATTTATTTGTTCTCCGATCCAATTTAAATATATATTTTAAATAATTGTTAAAAAAATTATTTTTTTTAAGGTGGAGAGAATAAATAATTAAAAAGTAATTACGAAATTAATGTAAATAAAATAAATATATGTGTATATAATTGTATTTTTTAAAAAAAAAATTACAATAAATTTAGTTTGTTCAGTTCAAGAAACCCCGAAACCCAACTCAACCGAAATAAACCCGACCCAAATCATATAGATTGGGTTGAGTTGATCGAGTTTCTTAGGTCATCAAATTTTTTGAACATCCATAATCATTATCGAGAATATAAATTTTTAGTTATTATATCTCGAAAATTGGGTATAAGAGCTTAAAAAAAACGATATCTCCTTTGTTCCAGTGGTGTAAATTGGGGTGAAAGTTTTTTTTTTTTTTAATTATTTTGTAAATATCAAATACTTTAAAATAATTTAAAAGTTATTATCAAAATAAATTTAATTTGAAATTTAAAGAATAAAATAGAGTGATGTAATTAAATGTAAAAAAAATAATGAAAAAGTATTTAATTTATATTACAATAATTGAAATAATTGAAAGACATTTAATTTAAGTTATTATTTTAAAAGGGATAAATAAATATTCCCCTAGAGGAGGTTTGTTGGGTAAAAAATAGATATTCAACCACCAACATAATTAACATCTTTTTAGTCAAAATAAAAATTATCCAAAACTTGGAGGACCTATCATAAATTTAATGCTCTCGGTGAATATTTACCGCTTGAATTCATTTGAAACTTTTAGTTTCAATTGGTTAAGCGTGCGCAAGCTCATAGTCAGATCTACGTTTACGAGAACGATATTTACCTTATGTAGAGAAATACTATGCGTTCAATTTTACCTAAAAATGAAAATACAACACAAAGTCAGGACATCGATTTAAGTCCCACTTGACATGTTAGACATTGCATATGGCAGTATATTCCGACTTATGAGATTCTTCACGTGTATTTTAAATAACAGATTATTGTTCCGATGATAGATTCTGATGTAGAGACCATAGAATGATAGTTTTTAAATAGTTTTTCGGGTTGAATAACATTTCTTTTTATTTTAGATATTCATTGGTTCAACTAGTCGTCGAGTTGAAGTTAGATTTCATAACTTCCAAAGTTATAGTTTTAACGGGTTTTATAAAAATTGATAATTGATATTATAAGCACTATTTCCAAGTTCCAGATTTTTAATTTTCAAATAATATCTAATATTCATCGGTCACAACACATTCTGTTACGACTAAAGTATATTAGGATTGAGTTGAATTATGTCAATTGGATCCCATTTTTAATTTTAAAAAAATTCAACCCAACCAAAATAACTAATTTTTATGATTCGGGTCAGATAGTCCAGATGGATGAGATTTTCGTATTAATTAAAAAAAATTAAAATTTAAAAAATGGAAGGTAAGTCACTCAACTAAGATATATAAAAAAATATAAAGTTGATATATATATATATATATATATATATATATATATATTCTATATTACAATGATTGAAAGAATGAAAATGAAAGAAATTAAAAATACTTTATTCCATAAAGAGCAAATGTCACTATCAAAAGTTTGAAATAACAAAGTTTAGCCTTTTGTTTTAGGCCAACTCCCACCGGACAACGACACAGCCGGTGAACACAACAAATCATCATATATATTATAATAAATATTAAAAATGACAAATATTTGTCAAAAATTATTTTAAAAAATTAAATTCGCACATTAGAAAGTAACAATAATAAAAAAAATAAATGAATTATTTTAATAAAAATGACTAAATTAATAAATTATCTTAAAACTTTATACACTAGAACTTTTAAAAAAAATTAAAAAATTAAAAATATTACTGTATTAATGATGTTTCAAAAATACCTTTAAACTTTACAAAATTTCATTAATACCCTTCAAATTTTTTAAAAATTCAAAAATACATTTATCATTACTATTATAAGTATAAAACCATCTATAAAGGAAGAAAACTATTTAATAACCTTTCATAAATTATTTCTAAACTTTTAAATGTTACTCGGAGTATTTTTAAATTTTTTTTTAAAAAAAGATATTAATGTTGAAACACTCCAGAAAATTAAAGGGTATTTTAACAAAAAAAATAATAGTTTAAAAATATATTTTAGAATTTTGTTTATTTTTTAGACAAATTAAAAAATCAAATATATTTTTATTACTTAAGCCTAAAAAAAAATTGTGTTTGTCTGTTTGTGTGCCCGGTCGGCAAGCAAGTCGGTCGGAGCCGGTCAAAAAAGGAATTGGCAATTTAGACCAAGTCTCTGTCCTTTCTTGCTAACGTCACGGACTGTCACCAAACTTGCATGAACGGCCACATGTAAACGCGTCACGTGGAAGCCTACGCGTGGTGTTCAGCACATAGTTAACCACGCGCAGTCACCTATGTTACATTATTACCAACTACTTGCCAAAACTGCTCCCACTTTGCGACCGTTTTACAATTACATGATTTTTTTTTTATTAATGATTTATTCATTTTATTTTTTGCAAAATTTAAATTAATTAATAATTATAAAAAATATATAGAGCAACATGGTTACGTTACCTCTTCCAAAACAAGTCTAGAGTGATACCTCTCGTTGTAAGAAATATTTTGAGCAATTCTATGTTGGGTGATCTTCTAGAAATTTTCTTGAGATGCACGTGAGTGAGGAAAAAAAAAAGCATATTGGAATTACTCGTCTTGGTCTATGGGGATAGTTTTCATTCGTAAGAATAAAGGAATAAGTAATGTAACCATGTCGTAAATGAGACAGGAGAATTTCGGGATTATAAGTGTTAGATGAAAGTCCCGCATCGGCTAAGTTAGAGAATGATAATGAGTTTATAATCAAATAATACTATCTTCATTTGTATGAGACATTTTGTGAAGCCCAAAGCAAAACCATGAGAGCTTATGTTGAAAAGGGACAATATCGTACGATTCTGGAGAGGACATGATCTTGTTATTTTTGCCTCGAAAGTATGCTAAATCGAACCGTTGAAAATCCAACCATGCACTTTGAAAATTTACAAAAGTGGGTTATTATACATTAAATATAGACAGTTACATTTTTGTACATCGATTTCATATTATAACTCCTATTTATTTCAAATCCAACCGTTGAAAAAAGTTCAACTTAAACTCAAATTTCTATGAGTTCATCTTGTTTTTTCTAATCGGTATCTTTAAACTTGCTATCCATTTTGATCGAAAGGTAGCCATCTTGTTTGAATTCTAAGCCTTATGTTCGTTTATATTTTTAGTATTGCAAACTATTTGGGCTTGAATGAACTTCGTGTTATCACGTAGGTAAGGGTATAATTGGTCATTTAACAAATAAAAAAATAAATATAGAATATTATTTTAATAATTTACAGGGAAAAAAAATTCATTAAGGGCAGTTTTATTCATGGATGAATGATATATAATTGACTATAAAAGTTTTGAATAATATAAATGTTTCTTAAAAGCAACATTATTTTAAAATAACTTAAATATTAAATAATGCAAATTTAAAACTCACCATTTAATTAACCAACCATCTCTCCATAAAAATAATAAAATTAAAAATTTTAAAATTGCATTTTTAAATTTTTTTAATTTCAAATTCAATTTTCATCTTGTGCTAATTTTTTTTATTAATTTTCATTATTTTTCGGAAAATTTCACATCATAATTATTTTGAATTAATAAATTAAAAGGCGAAGTACTTATTTAGTAATAAAAGTATAATCATAAAAATTCGTAGAATATTTTGAAATTTAGGAATTGAACAGAGTTAAAATTACATTCTTTTTTCCTAAATAATACAACAGAAAAAAANAAAAAAACAAAAAAATGCATATTCTATATTAAAGGTAATGAAATTAATACAAAATAATAATAAAAAAAATTATATTTCTCTTAATTTTTAAATTTGGATAAGATTAAAACAAAAAATAATAAACAAATTATTAATTGAAATTTAAAGGTTTAAAACGTTGATTTTTTTTTTTTGGACAAAATTCAAAAAATAATATATGCAATAAATTTATTTGTAACTTTTAAAAAATGGCAACCTCAATAAATATATGTCCATTTATTCCCTCTTTTTTTTTTTAATAATAATAATAATAATAATATATAAATATTAGTTAGTTTAAAAACTCTATATTTAGTTCATAAAACTTATAACCCACTTTTAGATTACCTTTCTAAACAAATTTATGAATCTATAGACACAAAATAAAAAAAAATAATTAAATCTATATACCTAACATATAAACACGAGTGGTATATGCATGTCATACAAACACGACAATACAATCGATAATTGTGTAGCCGAAAAAGAAGATTTGTAGTTAGACATATTAAATCTATATACCTAACATATAAACACGAGTCCTTCTAGCATGTTTTATCCTCACTCACATGCCCACTGGCTTCTGCATTGGTTCGTCCTCGAACTAAATCTTACTGAGAGAGGTATTTGCTCTGATACCATTGTAACGACCCATGCTTAGTGTCCCTTACTCGTATTCCCATGATATTCTCTTAATTGATACGAGGCTTTTTAGGAAAGTAAAAACAAAACTACATACTCAGAAGAACTTTGTTTTACTTGAAGTAATTTTATCATGAGAATTTTGTTAAAATGCATTTGAGTGAGAACAAAATATATTGAAAAGACTCGTGTTGGTCTGTGAAGATAGTCTAAGTTAGGTATCGTGATCATGTTAAAGGGGAATACCGAGGACATCAGGTGCTGAATCCGATTAACCGTTAGAAAAGGTATTAATGAAAATTTTGAATATTGGAAGGTATTTTTAATTTTTTAATTTAAAAATAATATTCAAGAAATTTGAGAGTTATTTATGTGAATAGAAATTTAAGATTTATTTATTTATTTATTTAAATAGGAAATAATTTCTATCCATAATCCTTGCGCCAATCGGAGTGGCGAAACAAAGGGAATTTATATTTGACCGCCTCTTCCTGCCTTTATCTCCATGAATTCTCGCCAGGAGCTCGCCGCCATCTCCCTTCAAACGAGGCCTTCTGCTGCCTAACCACCTTCTTCTCTCTCTTGAAAGCTTTTGGCGTTACGGATTTTCGCTACTTTGTAGGGACGAATCGGGTTGGTCATCGGGCCTGTCGTATCTTCAAGGTTCGGTTCCTGTAATTTCTGTTCTGCTTCTTTGTATTGATAGTTTCCCGTTGTTCTACATTGAAAAATTATGTTGTAAGTTCTCGTGGTATAGCCAATTCTTCTCCTGTGCTTCGCATTATTGTTGAATTGGAGAGGTTATTCTTGCTTTTGTGTTGGTATTTTGGAATCGATTGAAGTGCGTTTCTATGTGAATTTAGAGTTATTGCTTGAATGCTAGAATTTCCGTGTGACCTAAGGGTTCTGATTACTTGAAGGCGCTTCTGCTTTTATTTCCGTGTGACCTAAGGGATTTCTTGGTATGGAGAATACTTTAGGGCAAGGAGAGGGGATGAGGGAGCCATCACTATCTCTCTCCCTTTTTCTTCTCCCTCTGAAGTCTTTATCTCCATCTGGACTCCTCGGTGGAAGTGTCATACTCTTTTTGAGGCTTTTTTAGGTGTAAATAATTTATGTACGACGAAGATTATAAAAAAAAAACAATGACAATTTTAAGAAATTAGAGTTTGTGTTAGAAATCGCGTTTTTGGTGTTCATTTGATGTCAAATTAGTTAATATTATAAAAAGAAGTTAAAAGAGATAAAAGGACACCAAGTGAAACTAGACTTCGGTTTGATGTATAGAATATTTAAAAAAAAACCTTTTTGGTCTCGAATAGATTTTGATTGGCTTCAAGTTCAAGATAACTGAATTAGACCAATAAAACAGTGGCATTCTTGATCATCTTTATATTTCTGTTTTAAAGTTCATGAAACCCACGAAGTCAATAGAAACTAGAAAGGCGCATGTTAAGAGTTTACTTGGCATGTATGGGGGTTACCTTGTTATGTAAATTCATAGAAACATTCATATCTTGTGATTTTGAAGAATGTAATGTAAGGAGTATTTAATTTATGTTGGGGTATGTCTTGTTAAGTTAGTTTTTCTCTTTCACTCAATCTGGACTGGACATAAACAAGTTCTTCCCTTTTTTTCTTTAGCTTTGGTTCAATTGTGGAGATGCTTGCCAGTAAGGTGGCCAAATAGTTTTGATTTTTTTACTGAAAATTACTTGAATTTAGGAGAATGTGGATCAAATATACTGTCTCTGACTATCTTTTAGACTTACCTCTTGTGATCTTTTACCATGTTCTTTTAGTTGTTTTCTTTATCAGTAGATGAGTTCCTCGTTCTCTCTTGACATGACACCTCAAAACTGAACTGGTTGATTCGTTCCATTCAACTGGTTCCGTTTGGACTTGAAAAATTAAGGACACATGAATTGGGTTGGTTGGTGGTTCAAAATAAATTATATCAACCAAAGAAAACTGAACCGAACCAATTATAATATAATTATGCAATATAATTCATATAAGAATGTGAAGAATTTTATTTTTTGCAAGATATAATTCTTCTCAAAATACTCTCAATTGAATATTTTAAATTATTAAAAAAAATCGTCAATCAAAAATCTGTTTATCTGTCTTATATTAACAGACCNNNCCCCCCCCCCCCCCCCCCTGTCGTTGTTGCTTTCTCTCCTCCCACCCTTCCAGCCTCCCACAAAATCCTCTTTTGAATCCATTCTAAAATCATCCTCTTAAATCCCTTTTGGTTTCTGCTGTCGCACCATCATTGTTACTGGCCTCCACACTTTGCCTCTAACTATAAGGTAAGTAACCCTTTCTCTCTTCCTTGATCGTTGCCCTTGCTTTTCAAAAGGGAAAATTGATAAATTGATCGTTTAATTCTTTTCAATCTGTTTTGGGCAGAAGCTTTGTTTTTTTATTTAATGGAGCTTTTCTGGTATAGAATGTAGGTCTGGGAGGCTTGTTGTTCGATGAGATTGATCGGTGTCGAATATGAAGTGTTTTGTCTTGGATAAGAAATAGGGTACCTTTATAAAATAAAAACCTCACATAACAACCTAAAAGCCATAATGAGAGGCGTTTCTACACTGTCTAATAAATTAATATACAGAATAAATTCCTAAGGTACTAGAGAATCCAATCCTAGCGAGCACTCAAGGACTGCTCACTTGCAAAATGTGTACTACTTTACAATCACATTTCATTTGAAGCTCATTATGGAATGAGGTGAGTCTCTCTCTCTCTCTCTCTCTCTCTATTGCATTTGAGATCATAACTATTTCAGTTAACAATAGGAGCGAGAACTAATGAGGATAATAGCTTAAGGCTATGGTTTTGGCCTTTGGAAGTTTTGTGATAGTGTAGAACATTCCACCTCATGGTGATGTTGTTAATGTTTGGAAGGCTCTTATTTTGCAGTCCTTTCCGGGTAGGGTTTCCTCTACCCCTCCCCTCCCGAGAATGGGAGGTTTCTGTGACAAGCTAGGTGGTATAGTTTTGTGAGGCCTTTGGCATGAGAGGAACCATATAACATTTAGAGGATTTGAGATGACTTCAGTCATGTTTGGTTCTTTGTAATGTTCCATGTTTCTCTTACACTTCAGTAGCCAAGTCTTTTGTAGTTATCCTTTAGGTCTTATTTCAATTTGAGCTCCTTTTTTCGTGGGATTTGTTTTTGTATGACTTGGTATTCTTTCATTATTTTCTCAAGGGAAGTTCTATTATTCATAGAAAAACAAAAGAGTTTTGGTGATACAAAAAAGGGACTAAAGTGAGTTATACGACAAACAATCATCAATACCATCAACAAGTCAGAATAACTTAACACTGTAAATGCCTTTCTTTTTCTTTTAGGTCAGTGAGGTCTGTGATGTCTGTGAGTATATGGGTCAAGATGATTTAGCATCGTAAGTACCTTTTAGGGATTCTCGTTTCAATCCAGGATTTAAAGATTTGAAACTAGATATTAGGTGCCTGAACAACCTTCATGGCCTTTTTCTCTATATTATATAAAATCACAACAAATAAGAGGGGATAGATCAAATCATCTGAACATATGCCAAAATCAACCTAATGACTAATCAAATAAGATTTACCTACTGTTCATATCTACTGTATTGCTTCTCAAACTCCTCCTTATGTCTGCAGTCGGCCAAATCAGGGCTTCATTGTATTCAATTATCTCCCTTTATTTTCTCCAAAGTATTCGGTTGAGTCACCTTTTTTTAGGGTCCATGCTTGTCAAAGCCACCCTACAGGGTTTCTAGGTTGCTTTTGGAAAGAATTTCCTGTTTTGGAAAAGTATCCCAAAGATCCTCCAGCTCTTACAACAATTTCTGGGTTCGAATTCTAGCCTGCGGCTTCTGACACCAGCTCTAGAGTTTAGGGATTTGATTACTATCTTATACTTTTCATTCATATAGTGGTAATCTTATAAAACAGATCATTATTATCCACTTTTCTCATATAGCTTCTTCTTATTCTTCCTTTTTTTTTTTTGCTGTTACTATTTTTATTTTATAGGAGGCAATTTCATTTATGTTTGAAATTTACAAAACCTTGTTATTTTATGTTCTGTTCGGATAAACTTCCTTAACTGTGCATTGCATAGGGTTCGGATAAACATTTTTTTATTTTTTTTTATTTTTAATGTTGAGTTATGATTTTATTCTTATATTCACATTCTTAATTACATAACATGCAGTCTTTTAGGTTGCAACTTGTAGTAATTAGGAAATTCAATTTATTCTCATTTTATTGGCGCTTTCATCTCAGAAATTCTTGTTTACAGTGTCAGGTTGTCATCTACCCTCGAAGATGGAGATGCTTACTACAAATTCTGGTGCCATGCTAACTCTTCTACCCCCAGGTACAAGCAACTAATTTTCTTATTGTTTCTTTGATTTGATGCAAGTGGAAATGAATGGATTTAATTATAATAAAAAAAAGACAAGTACAGGAGAAGGGAAGCAGGATATGGCATTTACCTTACCTCAGAAAGGAACACGTAAGAAATAAGAAGCAACCCATATCTAATTTGATTGGAGAAGTAAGTTAATGTTAGCATTCCTACCATTCACTCCAGCATGAGGTACTGTACTGTATAACATCCAAGAAATTGTCAAAAGTTTTAAAGATATCTTTAAGGGATTCCATTGTTCCTTTCAATCTAAAATTAGCCATTTCATAAAAATAAAAATAAAAAATAAAAAATAAAAAATAAAAAATTAATAATTAGCCATAAAACAGCTTTAGAAGGAATTCCATGTAGAAATCGTCCTTTCTTTTCAGTCACCAATGCACAAACTTCTGAAAATCAGGGATCTCATTCTTCAGGAAGCTCTAAGAATGCCAAATTTGACATGATGAAAATTCCACCTTTATTGGACACTCAGTAGAGGAATAGATGGTCTATATTGGGAAAAGTTGACTTTTGTGTGGGCCTCTTCCTAATCAGGTTAGCTATGTTGGTAACTGAGGTTAGGGTTTTTGTTAGTTAGGTAGAAAAAGCAGACTTCCAAGAATATGTCCCCAAATTATCAAAATGCCAAATGAAAAGAGATGTTATATGCTCTCTCATACTAATATCTATCATGGTTTATTAAGTTTGGGAACAAATAATTTAGCTGGTATAGATCCACTCAAGCAATCTGATTGTCGAGATAACATTTCCTTGCAGTGTGTACATATGAATGGTGTATATATATCTCTATATATTCTTGAAAGTAATAGATAACTGTTGTAGAAATAATCGTTCCTGGTACAGCTGTGAAAGGTCACAGCTTTTCACGGTTTTGTGGTCTCAATATTTTGTCAGCTGATGCTGGTTGGGAATTTATTGATGGACCATAACATCTTGCTCATTCTTTGGAATGTATATTTACTTACACTCGGTTGATTGGAGCAGTCGATTTTCATGGCTGCTAATTGTGATAAACTATGATTTATCAAATGCCTCTATCTTCGTAACATAATATATATCCTTTTCTTGTGGTTTTATGTTGTCCTTCATGCTTTAAGTTTTAATATATTTCTTCCCAGACTAAAAAATGGAACTAATTAGCTTATATTATCTTTTGTATTGGAATACCGTTGTAGTTACATTGATTTCTTTTCAGTTGAAAAATATTGGTTTCTTGCTTAAATTAGTGTTATATTACCATTAATTTGAGATTTCTTTGATCTTTAGTTGTAATATTGTCTTTGTAAAATAGTGGGTCAGCATTGGGGAAAAATGAAGGTCAAAGACTTCCTTCTTAGAAGGGATAGTGTCCAACTTCAAACTCCTAATGGGAGGAGACAATCTGTGATTGCTAAAGCAGGACCAGTTTTTCTCAAACCAATTCCATCTACTGGGACGAAGGGAGGCTTTCTGTATTCTACTAGAAAGAACAACAACGCTTTCATATGTTTTGCTGCATTGGTAATTTGGTTCTTATTAATTTGTTTGTCTTTTAATGCTTCCTTATTTCAACTGTTCTCTGTTTACTTCAAAGCCCTGCTGGTAGTAATTGTTCTATATCAAAAACATTACTGTACAATCCTAAGCCTTAGATGCCAAGGTAGAGTTTTAAAAGTCTTCCGAATCCGAATTTTTAGTGGGGTGAATTTGTGATAGGTTTAATTAATACCTTGATTTGGGTCTCTATGGCTAATCCCTTTTGTAGTATCAGTTATGTCTTATTCTTTTATGCCTTATTATTTTGGATGAGAGCCCCTTTTGTACTTCCTTGGGAACTGTTTTTTTATATGCCCATATAAGCTTTCAGATTTCTCATTAAAAGCTTGGTTACTTGTAGTAAAAGAGAATGTTTAATGAGAAATAGTTGAAGCCACATTTTTTTTTTTCATTTACCCAATCAATTAGTTTCTGGGTGGTGGATTTTCAAATGGATTTGAGTTTTTTGTTAAATAATCAATAGCAAAGAACAAAATCGAGTTTTAAGCGTAGTGAAAGACTTAAACACAATATTTGTAGGGGTTTATATGTGTGTATATATATATATCTAATGACGCTGTCTCTCTGCAGAATGCTAGGTGTGCAGCGGAGCAGACCCAGACTGTTACAAGAGAGGCTCCTACAATCACTGTTCTTCCCGGTAACAATCACTTGCAAATTTTATGAATAATAGTAACTTTAAACTTCAAACTTCCTAGCAGCAAGTAGCATATGCACATGTTATCGCCTTGCAACCCGAACATCATGTATTCATCTAGCAGCATGTTGTTTCCCTAAAATTGCTTACATAAGAACATTGTGTTACCTCCCCCAACTCTTTGCATATGCACATGTTATCGCCTAGCATCAAGTAGCATATGCACATGTTCTTATGTATTCTTCTCTCCCTAACACGCACGGGATTGTCCTATGTTATCATAACGTTGCTGTTGCTAAGCCTTATTTTTAGCTATACATTGTGTTACCTAAAACTAAAAATGCAGGCAAGGAGAAGTCACCGCAACTGGATGATGGCGATTCTGGATTTCCACCTCGTGATGATGGTGATGGCGGCGGTGGAGGTGGCGGTGGTGGAGGAAACTGGTCTGGTGGATTCTTCTTCTTTGGCTTCCTTGCTTTCCTAGGCTTTTTAAAAGATAAAGAAAGTGAAGGGTCCTATGAGGATGATAGGAGAAGATAAATATATTTTGATCAAATTTATAAAATGTAGATTCAGAGTTATACTTGGAGACAATCTCAAAATAAACATTTGTTTCTAGTAATGTTAATCCAATTTGATTTCTTTCATCCACTTTGTTGAAGATATTACCAAGTCAATATAGTGATTCTTCCTCTCACCCTCTCTCCCCTTCTATCCCCACTTCGTCCCTACATGCCACAAAGAATGCTACCTTTAAAGCCATCGTAGTAAAAAATTGAAAAACCAAGTTTTTGCTTGGAGTTCGATGGAAAGACATCTTATAGGTTTCAAATTCCGATGCATCCTATCATTGCCTAATCATCCCGACCCCAATAACATCGTTTGTAATCAATAATTATGACTCTTCGTCACGACGGTTGAAGATGATACAAAGTAATAACTTAGTTGGTGACTTATTTATTTATTTTTAAATATTTATTTATTTTTAAATATTTAATTAAGATTTACAAGTGAGAATATATATTTAGAAAAATTACATTTCAAAGAGTTCATAACTCAACAAAAACTGTTATTTGAGTCTTTTGAACATCTCTAGTCCAATGGTAAAATGAAAAAAAAATCAATTTTTTTCTAAATATTGGCATGTGTGAAATACATTTGAAAACAATACATTTAACATTTTTTTTAATATTGTTTTCAGCGGGATATAATAGTAATAATGATTTCGAGAAAAGAAATAAGGGCTCGAAAAGAAATAAGGGTTCATAGAATTAAAAAATACGGTTTTAACTTAATTCACTAATGTCATCATTTTAACGTCTCAATAAATTTTTAATAAAGAATTTCAGTTTACTTTTTTTTTATTAGATATTATATATTTTATATATTCTAGAATATAGAAAATATATAATAAAATAAAAAATCAAAAACTTTTTCGATTATTGGGACGGATTCCTATTTTCCCCATCCCGAAAATGATAATAAAACAAAGATATGAAAAGAAAGATCAACCCTCTTTAATTATCGATGAAAATTGTTTTTATCTTCAATAAAATTAATGAAAAAATTTGCGAGAATGGAGAACGAAATAGGATGTGAAGATGGAAAAGGGTCCTTGGTCCTTGTCCCACCTTGTACACATCTCTACATTATCGAATTTAAGGTCGTATTTCTCCACTTTTCGCCTTTTACCATCTAGTTTGGTCTTATGGCATATGGAGAGCAAAATTTTCATGAGATTTTTCATATGCTCTTTATCCTTGGATTCATAACGTTAACCTCCTCCCCATCTCATCATTGTTTTTAAATGAGCCTCATTTCGCTTTTTGTGGGGTGTAACTTATCCCCCAAGTAGAAGGCTCTAAGCCTAACTTCCTACACATTTCTCAACTTCTCAACTTCAATTGGGTTGGAGTTCGTTTAGAATTATATATTTTACGATTCTATCTTAACGAGAATGTGTTAATGTAGTAGGAAGAATGTGTTAATGTAGTAGGAAAATTTTCATCATAGTGGATTTTAGGAGCTAGTTTCGGATGGTAGGCATGCCTATATAGACTTAATAGTTACAATAATTAAACTTTTTCTAAGCAAGACCGAAAAATATAATAGGCAAGCACAAATGAACAAACTCAATGGAAGGAATGACCTTAGCGAATTTAGTTACTATCAAAATTTTCAATCTCAATTCCACTAGAATCAGGGTCGAGATCTAGACCAAAGTAAACTAATAATAATAGCCCAAAACCAGATTCTAAAATCCAACAAAGAATTACTTGGAAACGATTCAAAATCGACTCATTAGAAGAGTAGAAAACAAAAGGAAAATAGAACTTTGAGGAAGGAAGGTGAGAAATTTGAATTTTGCACAACTGTCTTTTCACATTTCATGGGGTAAAAAAAGAGCCCATTTTCCCAAAAGGAAAGCAAAATGAACAATATTCTTTTACCCCCATAGATGGAAGGTGGAAAAGGGAGAATACATAAGCATCCAAGAGGAGCCTTGGATCCCAAGAGCAGCGGGCAAAAGGGCAATAGCATGAGCATTCCCTTTCAAGGACTTGCCCAAACGCCCTCTCTTGGGATCCAAAATGATCTATCTAATAAATCCCTGCACCCACAACAATTCTTTATTTTACAAGGAATTTAGAGAAGTCCTGGGAAGGGAAGAACCCACCTTTGAAGATCGAAGCTGATTCCCTTGGCGTTATCAAGCTTCCTCAATGGAGCATTTTGGTGCCTGTTTGAACATAACTTATCCAAAACACACAGAGTATTTATGCCCCCATCCATATTGACATAAACAGAACGCACTCAGTTGGTACCAATTACGATCAATCAACAACTGGAAATTGAAAGGCGACAAATATCATATCACATCAATATCACTATTAATATTGAATTTGAACGAAGAAAACAAATGATGACTGCTGATGAAACATTGAATACTTTCTAGATGAGGGATTAGCTTCATCAGCCTATGCTCAAACTCAGCCAAGAATGCAAACAAAAGCAACCAGAGTTCTGCTTGTCTTGTGCTTAAAACACAAAAGTTCAGTCACTGAAGAAACTAGACCGAAAATGACCAAAGGAGCAACCCATGCGAAGTGAAAATACTATATTAGCCCCTCCTCTGAGAAGTGGCCAACAGCATTTACAGTTGGGCAAACCATGATCCAATAAGATCACGAACACGATCACAGTCACAACTTCAGGTATCGTCGACTTGTGAATGAAAGACAAAGCTTGGGAAAGTTGTGGTGATGTCCCTGCCCAGAAACAACGCCCAGCTTATATAACACATAGCAAGTGCCAATAATTTCAGTTATAGTTCACTTTATGAGACCGTGTCTTTTTACGACAAAACAGGATGTGTGACAGAGTTCTCTTTCATTATTCCCAACGACGTTACACAAAAACAAACAAGCACTGACTTAAGGTATATGATTATGATTTTCCAATGTTTCAGTTCAACAAAAATGGACTTACTTAAGATATTGAAGGGTCATGTTCTTTAAGAGAGATGGATGTCGCGAAACAAGGTTTCTCCACTCTTCCTTGTCAATCTTTCCGTCGTGTTTTGTATCAGCTTCCTCAAAGGTCTAAAACATACTCCAAGGTTTAGAAGTATTAATAAAATTAAAATTTTCTATGCATACAACACAAAAGCTCATAAATAATCTCGAATAAGACCTCTAAAGTAAATTCATCGAACTTTCGAGAGCTAAATGGATAGAGGAGTACCTTATCAATTATACTCTCAATAACATCATCCGAAAGATTCATACCAGATTCCGCAAGGGTAGCCACAACCATTTGCTTCACCTAAGTACAACAAAAAAACCAACTCTGTAGTAGGAAAGTTGGGATAAAAAACCGGAAACCTAACTTCATCACTAGGAAGAAAGTATTACCTCTTGTCTCTCAATAAAACCTTGCTGCTTAAGATCGTACAATTGAAAAGAAACTGAAAACATGGCATTATAAGGTAAAGGCAAAAGGATTTAGTTTGACATAAGGGTTCCAATCATAGTATAAACGTCTTAACAACCAGCTTGACAACTGCTCCAGATATTTTATCATTTTACTATACATAACGTACATTCAACTTTATCATCAATTGGGGCATTCGGATGAAATACAGATAACGCACGAGCAAATTCTTCGAAGCCTAATATTCCATTGTGTTTTGTATCAAATAAGTCAAACACCTTCAATAGAAAACAAAAAGTATAAGAAGTTTATACAAGAGATATTGGTAAAAAAATGAGTTAATAAATCTAGTCCATGCAACAGAAAAGGCAATATCAAAAAGTACCCTGTCAGCAAATAAGCTTTCTTTTTTATTCGTCTTGAACAATGCCAGTTGAAACTCCTCCTACAGTATAACAGTACAACAAACAACTTCAAGAAAGAACCAACGAAAATCAGCAAATACAAACGTACAAGGATTCATATATTGTATGAAGAAAAGATGTCAGGTCCAAAATATGGTAAAAGTTTTGCATAAGCTACAATTCTTAATATCCCTAACCAATGGCAGAAAAGGATGCATATATACCTTGTTGATCAGGCCATCATCAATCACGGCACTGCTTATCTTCTTGAAGAGTTCATATAGTGCCTCTATTTCACTTACACTGACTGCATGTTGTAGAAAACTAGCATCATTTACTAAAATTTACGGTTTTTGTTTCTGAAAAGATAACAGATGACTAGAGTTGTATCACACTTCATTTTGGTAGCCCAATTCATTATGGTCACCAACTTCCAATTTTAGTTTTAGGTTCACTGGACATCAAGTAGATGTGACATTATGAATTGTGTGCATTTCAGAGGTATAAATCGACAAAAGAAGGAATGAAAATTAAAAACATACACACAGTCTCCCTCGCAAGAAGTTCAGGATCGTCGAGACCTCTTGATTGCTTATACAATTCAAGATCACAACATCTTACTAGGGAAGCAAAAAATCCCCCTATGCACTGCAACATGATATCGCTTGATAATCAAAACACTCCATGCCTGATTAATAGAAGTTGTATATAAGAGTTTCTTATCAGTGATATCAGAAAATGAATAGAAAAAAAAATGCATGGAAAGAGAGTATGAACCTTTTAACCATTCTCTGCTTCTAATGACTCGCTCAAATGCCAAAACTTCACATAACAACAGGAAACCTATTCTGCTTAAGACAATATTTTGAGTACATTAGGAATTAATAGAACAAACGGTAACAAGTGAAGTACAAAAATATTTTCGGGAAAAAGAATAGATGGCTCAAGTAGCTTTTCAATGTTACATAACTGCAAGAACAGATAATAATAAGTCCATAACTAACAAAACAAAAACTAGCATCAACTGGATGCTTAACGACTTCCCAACCCAAACTTCCTCCTTGACTATCCCTGCATTAACGTCTTCTTCTCTCTTCTTCTTCTTTCTTTTATTTTAATGTCACAATAATTTGATTATCCTTGCATCAACGTATTGGAGAAGTTTTTTGTAATATCTTAAGATGGGTTTACTCCCTTTTGAATCATTTTATTTAATCAATGAAATTGTTTCTTATCCAAAAAAAAAAAAAAAACCTTGATCCAAAAGGTGTTTTCGAGGTGGATGCATCAAGCTGGTGCTTTTCAAGGTGGCTCTATCAAGTAAGATGATCATGTCTAGGTGCTTCATGAGTTTCATTATTTAATACAAAAGTAATTATAAATTCTCCATTTCCAACTTATATCAAGTATTAGCCAGTAACAGAGAAGCATAGACATGGCATGGGACACAAACAACGCACAAGCACAATGACATGTCATTGTCTAATGAACTAGGACATGGAAACAGCCATGACACATTTACAACAATATCTTTTAGAATATGCCAGACAATATTAAAAAACTTTTCACAGCTTATAAAAAAAATTATGTCAATAATGCTTATGCACTTATATGCTTCTCTTCTGCTATCAAAATTTATAATTTCTCTTTACTTTTTATGTCCCTTAATATTATTTCTATTTTCTAGATTAACACTTCAGTTCAAGTGTTCAGAAATTATTTGACATTCATTGTCGAGTGTCAGCCAACAGTCACCTAACACATCCATATTCGAGTATTTGACAAATGTCTATTGCACTTAACAAGTACAAGTATCAATAGTTTCAGTACATGGCAAACATGAGGACGGTGCCCAAACTAACGCATACATGCTCCATACAGCTTGAAATGTAGCTAAACAAATAGGCTAATCAGCCAATTTAAATAGGCACAACAAGTAAGCTTTAAGAACTAAACAAAACTCAGTAAATAGTTAGTAAGATACCTGTTAGTCCTTATATAAAATTAGTTTTAAAAAAGAAATCTAAATGGAGAAATAAAGGGAGATTGTAATTTCAAATTTCCCCGTGGATAGGATAAAACTGAAATAGTCATAAAAGAACAAACTGCAAGAGAGTATTTGGAGAAAAAAAGGAAGAAATAATACATAACGCGCAAATTCGATTGGTGTTTAGCTACATAAGAATTCTGTAAAGATGCAACACTTTTTATCGGGGAAGCAAGCTGCATATTCCAAAAAGAGCTTCCAAGCATTCAACTGGCAAAGAAAATATTCACAACATGCACTGATAAACATACATGTATAATACACATAAGTGTCCCTCTCCTAGAATCCCAAAAAGGAGATCCGTTGTGTTTTTAGGTAAACTGATGAGAAACCCATTTATAATCTTCAATGAAATGCGAAAATACCATAGTTAAACTATGTCTACTCTCCTGAACAAATCCAATATAAGCAAAAAATCTATTTGCTACATCTAGAACAGAACTAGATTGCAGTCATTAGACAATGATGATGGGAGTTAAAGAATTATGGTGATGTATTTCTTTCATAATCTTTCTACCACATAATCATTAAAAAAATAAAAATGTTGTTCCCAGATCAGAACATTCTCTGAAGAACATATCAATTCGGAAAAAAAAAGTGAACCAACTCTACTTCCACACATCCAAGTTTTTTGGGAACGCGGAAAACCTTCCAAAGGCACTCTAGTCACCACAAGCATTGCCATGACCAATTAGGGAGCTGAATTTGAATATAACAAAAGAAAAACAGCCACCGAAATTTCCAACCAATGGGATAGAACCCATAGAAAATTAGCCTAACAACTTCCTAAAGAAAAAGAGGCACAACAGCCATCACAAAATCCCTCCCAACCACAGATCTCTAAATCGGAAACAGATCCGGTCGCGCAATTAATCGTTAAAGGCCCCACCAAACAACAGATTTCAAATTCCAAACCTTCGATTACACAAACATAAAATTCGGAAACGATCTGGTGAAGATAAAACGCAATTCAATTGAAAATGATGAAGCTTCCACACAGCAACAAAATCCAGTAATCATACTGTGTTACAAATTTATGCATGAAAACAAAGAAATTAAAATCAACCGTAGTATACCGTATAAGGAGAGGGGGCGACGATGGAAGCGAGGTTGTTCCGGTGAGGTGATGCGATGGCTGTCGACGAAGAAGAACGAAAGTGACGAATCCAGAGAGAGATGAAGAAACGTTCTTATAGCCAAAAGATACGAACGGAAAACCAAACCAAAAACAATAATTTGGTTTTTTTTTTTTCTCGAAGAAATAAATAAAAAAAATAAATATTCTGATGTTTGTAGCGTGGCGATGAGATGGGAAGGGTAAGCCCATAACCTTGGAGTTGGCTGATAAGACCCACACAAAACGACCTCGTTTCACTGGGTTCTATATATATATATATATATATATATATATATATATTTTTTTTTTTTTTCTATATAGTAATTTTTCAAATAAAAACTAATTTGTGAAATATGTAAAATATATTTTAAAATTCAATTGATTTTGTCACATTTTTTAGTTATTTCTCTGAAAATTGATCAATTCAGGCTATCTAACTATAATTATAAAAATTTTCTTGAATTATTATTATTATTTTTATTTGGATTAGGTTGAATTTTTAGAAAAAATAAAAAATTCCCGTGTTTCCTTTAATTACAAAAAGTTATATAAAAAAAATTCAAAAATACTTTTATAGTTAGAACTATATTTAAAAAATACTCATAAAATTTTAAAAGTTTTTTTTAAAAAAAATTAAGAGTATTAATAAAACTTTTGATTCCTTATGCTATTTTTTAAATATTTTTAAAAAATTTAATGTATTTTTGAAACTTTATATAGAAAAATTAATAATTTGGGTAGTGAAAAAATGGTTAGGAATTATCATTCAATGCTTTTATCTCTTAATGTATAAAAAAAATGATAGTAGCTAGGGATAATAATTGTGAAAATTATTTCATTAAGATATTATTTTGAGGAAATAATTAAAGCTACGAATATGACTACGAATATGACTGTAAGATCATTTATTATATGTATTACTCACGGAATCGGGTCGAAAATTTAAGTATCTTGATATAAATTCAAAGTTCGTAGAATGGCTTAGATCGTTCAGTTTTATGTTGACAATCTTATCTAACCCACGTAGGTATTGATTAAGTGAAAAAAATTAAATACGACACGAGTTAGTTAATATCTATCTTATCAAGATTCAGAGTATTTGACCGTAAAATAATATATGAAATTGATTAATCTAATTAAAAGGAGAAAACCAGTAAGAATTTAGAATTAAAGTTGAACGAAGTATTTGAGATTTTTTAGTATTAGTATCAACACCAATTATTAATTTCAACAAATACAACGAGCTTGAGTCGTGAACATGTTCCCAGTTCTTAAGAGTATTGATAGAATTACTTAGTAGAGTTGAGGTGGACTAAAAGACGACACACATAAGTTATTAGACAAAAGTTTCACATGTCGTAATGTTTTTTTTAGTTGGCGCGTTAGCTTCGATTGTTAAGAGGAAAGAATTAGTTTAGGAATTAATCAAGGGAGTGAAGAAGAACATGTATTTTTTTCAGAAACAAAAAACGATTAAAGGAGGGTAATGTGTCTAAGATTTTTTCGTTATGTATTGTTTTTGGACTCACTAGTGCTCACATTTGGTTTTTATGAGCAAGATGTTCGTGGAATTTTCTACGCTGATTTATAGTGGTGTGTATATTGATCATAGGAGGTTAATTAAAGATTAATAAAGCCATTTTAAGTAATTTGACAATTTTTATGTAGCATGTTAGGTAGCAAATTCTTTGCGTTTGAATCTTAAATGAAAAAAAGTTCTCTGAGCGGTTAACCCTTTTAAGGAATATAATAACGATAGACTTTTCGAGGAACTCAAACCACATACTGGTACTCACTAAAGTGGGAATAAGTAAAAATGCGTAAGATTTAAAACTTTTAAACGTGCATGCACATAAAGAAAATTTAAATTTAGTATGACATTGTTTTGAAATACAGCACGACCCGCACGATATACACACAAAAGAACGAACATGACACACGTAATTCGTAAAATCCAGAAATACAAAGACATAAAGGGTTAGTAAAGGAAACATATCAATAGGGTACACAATATCGATTTAGCCCAAAACTCCAGCCTTTAGCTCGTGTGTGCCTCCGTTGTGTCTACTCCATCATGTCTCATCTGAAAGAAAGTAGTAGGAGTGAGTATATAAAATATATTCCGTAAGTAGTTTGTTGGTAGTTCATAGTTTGTCATCAATTTTTATTTATTTTAGTTAGCTCGTTTGGTATCTTATTCTCATCTGGGGATTTGTTCCCCAATATAGGTGTCTCCTAAGCTACACCCTAGGTTTACTCATTCTATTTCTTGGTTCTTGGTCCTATATGGGTCTCCGACGCTCAGAATATTTTAATTTTGTAAGTCGTTTGGTTAGTTATTTTTGTTACATCTTGACTTCAGTCTTCACTTGATGAATAAGAATCAAGATCAGAGAAAGAAGGTGAAGGAAGTAGTTCAGGCAATGAATGGGTTCAAGTCTCTCATCATTATTGTATCTCTAAGTCTTAAAGTCGCATCCTTAGTGCTCAATGTTCCTGCATTCTAGGATTTGACCAACTCTCAAGTATACTACTATAGATCCTCGCCACTCGTGACAAGTTCACTTAAAGGAACTAGCGGTCAAACTTCTCAACAATAAAATAGACCAATTTTATAGTTATTCGGACCTTGACAATCGAATCAGGTTAACGATGAGAGGTTAGTTGGCGAACCCCCTAATCGTCTTCGTATAACCACTAACTTACATGCATGAACAATAAATCAAAAGTCGCAAGATCGACCAACTCTAATGTACCACTGTGAACCCTTGCCACTCATGACATGTTCACAAATAGGAAATTAACCGGCAAACTTCCTAGAATTCCCCACGAGTTCCATCAACAATAAAATAGGCCAATTCTATAGTTCCTCGAACCCCTAAAATCAAGTCAAGTTTACGACTATGGGTTAGTTGGCGAACCCATAATCGTCCCCGTATAACCACTAACATCCCAACATATGTAATAGAGACATAGGATCTAAACATGAAAACCTATCATAAATTTTAATGCATAATAAAGTGCGTACACATTTTGTAAACAGACAGAATAAAAGTCAATGAATGTCATCTCAGCTCATTTTATGCTCAAACCTTTAGTACCTTATATCATACTAAAGTCATGCATGCATCGTTACGTTTAACCTATTCTTACCACGTAAAACCAATTCATTTCATGCTCAAATTTCTTTGACATGCTTATTATATCACACTCTCATGCATACGAGCATAGCTAAATCCAAAGTTTCAAGATGCCATTTACTTGAAAAGTGTCTTCTTATATCATAATCTCATGTATACTACGAGCATAGCTAAATCTAAAGTTCCAATATGTCATTTAATGGGTAGAATTGAAATCGGGTCAACCCATGAAAGATAGGGGGCGATTCTAACTGTAGAAGCTCTCCAAACCCATGAACGTACCTAACAACTAAAATCGAGTCAACCCATGAAGGGTAGGGGGCGAATCTAACTAGAGAAGCTCTCAAAACTCATGAACATACCTTAGCGTTCTCCCTCCATTCAACTTCCTGCTTCAGTTTGTTTTTGTTCGAAATCGACTGTCAAAGGCCTGTGGATCTATAACTCGAGTTCTTCTAGCAAGCGGGGGATTTGGTCTCCAACCTCCAGTGCTTCTCCCTTCGACAAATTCGAATCCCTTATCCTTCCTCAACTGGCAAGCAGCCTATAATCAACTCTCACCCCCACTTCTATTCTCGCGTGGTCTCGATGAGGGATAGGATGGAGGTCTTTCGTCGCATGCCCTCTGTACGTGCTGTCGATGAGCAGTGTACAACGCGCCTGTGATTTCCCTTATTCCTTCTTGTTTTTTTTTAATTTATTTACTCCATTCGTATTTTGGACAGCTGGATATTACAAAGTCAATCGAAATCCATACATAAACATAAATTTGTGAGTTCTAATGTAACATTACAAACAGAGCTTTCAAAAGTTAAAAGTTAAAAGTTCAATGGGAGCTTGGAAATGGTTAAATCCGAATTTTTATTTTATTTGTAATCTAAGGTTACTGTATGGTCCATGACTCAATTCGAAACGAGTCATTGTTACTGCGCTACGGTCCATGACACAAAGAAACGTACGACAGTCCATGATCCGAAGAAACGAGCCACTACAATATTAGTTGTAACAAAACAAAAAAGGTCTTGTTATCACACGGAAGAGATAGTACGGCATATAATTAAACCTAACTAATACGAACAGTTCAATTTCTCACATTTAGCTTTCCACTTCACGGGATAATCGATTTTTATCTCTAAGTGCATCCACATTTCATAAACGACAGCAGAAACACAATGCATGCCGTGCTTGTGTGCATACATATCTATATTTTTATATCTATACTACTTGGAAAGTGCTTTCTTCAACTCTCATATCTATCAAGGAATTCTCAAACGGAAGAGTCTGAATCAGTAAAACATCTTTCGAGAACAAGAACACTATGATATCCATTAGAATTACCACAAAACTTGGGGGAAACGAAGTTAAAAGCAATCAGAAATAACAAAGACAAGAAAAAAGACAGTCACCTAAGAACGCAGTAAAGTGAGAACAAGCTTTAAAGAAGATGCTTACTACTAGTTTGTTTCAAGTTCAAATTAATCAACTTCCTCCATCTTGCTACCCTCCTCAGCATCAGCCTCAGCATCTTCTAGAGGAGGCATCTCGGAATCCACCTCACCCTCTTCCTCGTCGATGCTTAATCCCAGCTTCAACATTCTGTGGATCCTGTTCCCGAACGTGTTCGGGTCGTCCAGGCTGAAACCAGAAGTGAGCAGGGAAGTCTCAAACAGGAGTAGAACAAGGTCCTTCACGGACTTGTCATTCTTGTCCTCATCAGACCTCTTCCTCAGCTCTTCTATGATCGGGTTCTCCGGGTTGATTTCCATCGTCTTCTTGCTAGACATGTACCCAGCCATGCTGTTGTCCTTCAACGCCTGAGCTTTCATGATTCTTTCCATGTTCGCTGTCCAACCGTATTCACCAGTTACCAAACAGCACGGCGAATCAACAACCCGGTCAGATACCACGACCTTCTCCACCTTGTCACCCAACACGTCCTTGATCACCTTGCAAAGACCCTCAAATTTTTCCTTCAAGCTTTCCTTCTTTTTCTTCTCATCTTCGCTCTCCTCGAGTTTCAGACCTTCCTTGGTTGCTGATACGAGCTTCTTCCCTTCAAATTCCTTCAGTTGACCAACTGCGTACTCATCGATTGAGTCGACCATGAACAGAACTTCGTAACCCTTCTTCTTGAGCTTTTCAAGGAAAGGAGAGTTCTCTACAGCTTTCTTGCTTTCACCAGTGATGTAAAAGATGTCGTTCTGACCTTCCTTCATTCTGGTCACATAGTCCTTCAGGCTGGTCAACTCATCGCCACTTTTCGTGGAGTGGAAACGGAGAAGCTCAGCAAGCTTAGGCCTATTCTGCGAATCCTCGTGGATACCAAGCTTCAAGTTCTTGGAGAAGGCCTCGTAGAACTTGTTGTAGTCTTCCTTGTTCTCAGCTATCTCAAAGAAGAGCTCAAGGCACTTCTTGACCAAGTTTTTGCGGATGACCTTCAAGATTTTGTTCTGTTGCAGCATTTCTCTGGAAATGTTGAGGGGAAGATCCTCAGAATCGACTATGCCCTTCACGAAACCAAGGTACTCAGGAATCAACTCCTCACAGTTGTCCATGATAAACACACGTCTAACATACAACTTAATGTTGTTAGGCTTCTTCTTTGTGTCAAAGAGATCAAAAGGAGCCCTCTTGGGGACAAAGAGAACAGCCTTGAATTCCAATTGACCTTCCACCGAGAAGTGTTTTACAGCGAGGTGCTCTTCCCAGTCATTGGTAAGGCTCTTGTAGAAAGCAGCATATTCTTCCTTGGTAATCTCCTCTGGCTTCCTCATCCAGATGGGCTTCTGTTTGTTCACCAAAGACCACTCATGAGAAACCTCCTTAATCTTTTTCTTCTTCTTTTCTTCCTTCTCCTTCTCTTCATCAACTTCCTCAACCTTGCCTTCCTCGTCCTTCTTCTCCTCTTCATCCTCATCATCAGAGATTTCCTTCTCAGTGGTCTTCTCAACCCAGAGAGAAATTGGGTAGCTAATGAACTCAGAGTGCTTCTTAATCAAGTCCTTGAGACGACGCTCCTCAAGATATTCAAGTTGATCTTCCTTGAGATATAGGGTAATCTTTGTACCTCGGCCCAGATTCTCACCAGAGGTATCCCTGGTGACAGTGAATGAACCTCCAGCTTGGGACTCCCATACGTACTGCTCATCATCATTGTGCTTTGTGGTAACAATGACCTTTTCAGCTACAAGGTATGCTGAGTAGAATCCAACTCCAAACTGCCCAATCATGCTCACATCAGCACCAGCTGCAATGGCTTCCATGAATTCCTTGGTCCCTGATCTCGCAATGGTTCCAAGATTGTTCACCAAATCTGCATCAACATGATAGAGAAATGAGATACGAGTATCATATAGGCTAAAAGAAGATTACACATTAGCTGTGGCAATCACTCACCAGCCTTGGTCATGCCAATACCACTGTCAATAATCGACAATGTATTGTTTGCCTTATCAGGAATGATGTGGATAAAGAGTTCAGGCTGGGCATCTAGCTTGCTCTTGTCGGTCAAGCTCTCGAACCGGATTTTATCTAGAGCCTGAAATGAAGTTACAAATTATTAATTTCAAAACTTCGTCTAGTGAAATTTCTAGCTTCATAATCCAAGAAAGTACATAATGTTTCATGATTCCACGAAAAAGTAAATTCACACGACTACCGAACAAGATTATACAAGTCAATTGACCTGATACTAAGAAAACTCGTTCAAATTGTAAATCATGGTGCAAGTAAAATCCCAAAAGCTAACAATCGACCAATTTTAGATCGATAAACCAAATAAAATTACATCACTATAATTCACAGAGTATGTCTAGAAAAACATCGTCAGAAACCACAAATCTGAACAAAACCTACCAAGTTTGGATCAAATAAATGTAAAAGAAAACGTGGTTAAATCAAACTTCAAATTCAAGAAGAAATGCACATACGACAGAAGAAAAACAAAAAGAAAACGATTTAACTCCTAGAACAGCAGATACGAAGAAGATCAAAGAAAAAGTGAAAGAAAAGAAAAGGAAACGTACATCAGAGGAGTTGCTAATAAGTTCCCGGAGGAAGATCTCCTTATTGCTGTAAAAGGTGTTGATAATCAGACTGAGAAGCTGATTAATCTCGGCCTGAAAAGCGAACGTCTCAGCATCCGCCATTGTTGAAGACGACGAACAAAGTTAATCGAAGACCAGCAATGGAGGAAATGGAAACGGAGGAAGCTTCGAGAGAGCAATTCTAGATCTACGCAGGAACCGCAGGGTTATATAGAAGAGGGGTTTCTACTAGGGTTTCTGGAACCTTCTATCAGTTTGAAATTTATTACGATTATTACTTTTTCTTTAATTAGAATATTATCGAATTACGTGGCTGGCTGTAATGAAAAATTCGAGAAAACGGGGTTTGGGAAAACCTGATCTAGGATTGGAGCAAGATAATCCGAATCCCAGCCATGGAAAGTCCGCAGCCAAACAAGCCTCTAACCAATTAGTTGGGTTCTTTAATCCCAAAAGAAAATTATAAATTATAATGGATAATTTTATTTTATAAAATATTTTGTAAATATAAAATTTGATACTTTTACAGTTGGATTCATTATATTTAATAAATCTAATCATAAATTTTTTGAATTTAATTTTTTCATTTTTAATAAAAGCATTTATTTACTCATTTTCAAACATTTATTTTAAATAGTTAAAAATGGATGAAAATAATGGTCTAAAAATAAATAATCATAAAATTAAATAAAAAAAAATAAATATATATAAATATATTTAATAATAAATTTAAATAGATCGTTTCAACTCATTCTAATTTTGGGCGTAATTATAAATCATTCTAATTTATATAATTTTTTTTTCTAACTTCAATAAAACTCAAATAAATTTATAACTCCAAACAATTATTTTTTAATTCTTTTTAAAATTTTATTGCGATTAATTAGCTTATTATAACTTATAATAGTTAATTAATCTATATACATATATTTCTTATATTCTAAAATTAATAATAAATTCAACTAATCCATGCCAATACACGGTATATATATATATATATATGTATATATTTTGCTTATGATAATAAATTCAAGTAATCCATGCCCGTTATAAACGGTAGATTAAAAATAGAAGTGATTGTTTGAAGGCATGGAGGAAACCCCCAATTTCAATCGAAACCCCTAATCCAAACTCTTCCATTCAAATTCCCCACAGATCCAGAACGGATCAGGCCGGAGAAATCCGCCATTGGAGTTTCCTCCGGCAGACGCGAATCCGTACAACAAAATACAATAAACAAAAAAGGAAAAGCCCTAATTCAGATTTCGCTCACAAATGGAACCGATCAGCGCGGAGCCAAAACAGGTAACGACGAATTGCAATTCACCGACCTCGAAATCCGCGCAGCCGGAGTTGGAACTAGACGATCAGAAGAAGAACGCGCAGATGACGAGGTCGCCGAGCGCTAAATCGACCTGCCTCTGCTCTCCGACGACGCACGTTGGATCTTTCCGGTGACGGCGTCACCGGGGCACTGCCATCTCCCGCGGCGGCTCCGAGTGATCCTACCTCTCCGATCTGGCTCAGAAATCGGCGGCTGTGGAGGATTCAATGGAAGGTGAGTAGATTCATATGTTTGGGAGTGGTGTTTGTTAGACGAACACGACTCTCCACAATGGTATGATATTGTCCACTTTGAGCATAAGCTCTCATGGCGCCTCCCCTTAATCGAGGCTCGACTCCTTTGGAGTCTTAGTCATTTTTGACTGCCTTCGTACCTTCGAGGAGGCTTGACTCCTTTTGGAGTCCTT